CAAAAACAAGAAACTTTACGAGTCTGATGAAACCTGCTGGTTTTCCATCAGGCAGTCACGGGACAGCTCCAACGACCCAGTGGCTGTGCTGGGTCAGTTATCGAGCTCAGTCCGCCTCGGCCGTGAACGGGCCGAGGCGACGTCGTGCTCTGCTTAAGAAGAGGTGTTATTTTCCCGCTTCAGAAGAAGCGTCCAACGTGTTTTTACGCTTTCTCCGAGACATGTCACGTTGCTAAGTTGTTAGTGCCGCGCGCTAACACGTCCATAGTGCAGCATAGCCTGCTGGAGGTTTTAAGGGTTCCGATGAAAACACCTGACCTCTCAGGCTGCTCACACATCGATCTTAAGTTGTCGCTGTTGCGCTCACGCCGTAATACAGTATTAGATGCGGTTAAAGTCAGACATGAAAAAATAAATAAATTTTACATGAATGAGTGATGCTTAGCCTGGTGGGGGGAGGAAAACCTGGCAAGATCGTCAACACTCGTTTATCTTAATGCTATTGAAACATGTAAACCAAAAAGCATTATATCCACTGCTAGCTTTCTAATTTTAAACTCAGTAACTTATTGCTGTAACTTCACCTTGCTCTGCTTGCCCCTCCTTGCAGCCGCCGGCTGTGATCACAAGTGACAACAGAGTAGTTCCCGCTGCTTCTTTGGGAAACAGTGCAAAAAAAAAAAACTTGGGATCTTGTAGGCGTGGCGGTGGGATTTCAGCCTATGTAAGGGAAACCCTGCTGTTTGTGAGCAGAGTTTCGACTAAAATGCTGTTTAGGAACGACCAAATTCAAAGAACTTTTAGTGACATAAATATTTTACAGAAAATAAACATTACAACTAAAATATAAACAAATTAAATGTTTCAGCTGGCTAAATAGATAGCTACCGACCCCACCGAGAGTCGAACCAGCATCAGCAGAGGGGAAAGGAAAGCTTAGGTTTGACGATCTTGCCACTGGACTACCAGAGCCCACTAAACAATTGTTCTTAAATGCTGTATAGGACGCTGTTGTTGGAGCGGCTGTGGGCAGATATTCACTACAAGAAACTTTTTCATTTCAGGATATATCCTATATATATTCTGGCTTTGTCATGTAGCAAGTTATATTTATCTTGTTTAATTGGAGCATAGAACATAGCATTAACAGTTGTAAACTAGTAACAGCCGTAATTCATGTGGGTCAGGTTAGTTTGCGATAAAAAAAAAAACACAAAACAGAAGAAGTCGGTGGGCTAGGCTGTTGGCGTGAGTGGGCGGGGTTGACTCTGGTGCAGCTCCGCCTTTGTGGTTCTGCAGCGAGCACCCTCTCCCACTCCTTTGAACTTTGAACACAAATTATTGTTTTGGAACTTTTGTTTTTATTGATTCTTATTTATGTTTCTTATGTGCAGTTATTTCCTGTCCAGGGTGAATAAGTTCACCAAGTTAACGTCCACAGAGTGTTACTTTGTTACAAAGCACAAGTATTACCTTGTAATTATTGCTGCATTGTTATAATTTTAATATTCTTACAGGGATCTTCTGACCCTAAACGTGTGTGTGTTGTTAGATTCCCCAGAGTTAGCCAAGTCAGAACAAGCGTGTTGTAACCGGTTGTTTTAGCATAAAGCAGTGGAAGGGAAGGCTTGCATTCACCTACATAAAAACACACTACAGGTGCTGGCCAGTAAATTAGAATATCATCAAAAGGTTGAAAATATTTCAGTAATTCCATTCAAAACGTGAAACTTGTACATTATATTCATGCAATGCACACAGACCAATGTATTTCCGATGTTTATTACGTTTAATTTTGATATTTATAGGTGACAACCAATGAAAACATCAAATCTGGTATCTCAGAAAATTAGAATATTCTAAAGGCCAATGAAAAAATGTTTGTTTCTCTAATGTTGGCCAACTGAAAAGAATGAACATGAAAAGAATGTGCATGTATAGCACTCAATACTTAGTCGGGGCTCCTTTTGCCTCAATAACTGCAGTAATGCGGCGTGGCATGGACTCGATCAGTCTGTGGCACTGCTCAGGTGTTATGAGAGCCCAGGTTGCTCTGATAGTCGTCTTCAGCTCCTCTGCATTGTTGGGTCTAGCGTATTGCATCCTCCGCTTCACAATACCCCATAGATTTTCTATGGGGTTAAGGTCAGGCGAGTTTGCTGGCCAATCAAGGACAGGGATACCATGGTCCTTGAACCAGGTGCTGGTGGTTTTGGCACTGTGTGCAGGTGCCAAGTCCTGTTGAAAGGTGAAGTCTGCATCCCCATAAAGTTGGTCAGCAGCAGGAAGCATGAAGTGCTCTAAAACTTCCTGGTAGACGGCTGCATTGACCCTGGACCTCAGGAAACAGAGTGGGCCAACACCGGCAGATGACATGGCACCCCACACCATCACTGACGGTGGAAACTTTACACTGGACCTCATGCAACGTGGATTCTGTGCTTCTCCGCTCTTCCTCCAGACTCTGGGTCCTTGATTTACAAAGGAAATGCAGAACTTGCTTTCATCAGAAAACATAACTTTGGACCACTCAGCATCAGTCCAGTCCTTTTTGTCCTTGGCCCAGGCGAGACGCTTCTTGCGCTGTTTCTTGTTCAAGAGTGGCTTGACACACGGAATGCGACACCTGAATCCCATGTCTTTCATGAGTCTCCTCGTGGTGGTTCTTGAAGCGCTGACTCCAGCTGCAGTCCACTCTTTGTGGATCTCCCCCACATTTTTGAATGGGTTTGTCGTCACAATTCTCTGCAGGGTGCGGTTATCCCTAGAGCTTGTACACTTTTTTCTACCACATTTTTTCCGTCCCTTCGCCTGTCTGTTAATGTGCTTGGACACAGAGCTCTGCGAACAGCCAGCTTCTATAGCAATCACCTTTTGTGTCTTGCCCTCCTTGTGCAAGGTGTCAATGATTGTCTTTTGGACAGCTGTTAAGTCAGAAGTCTTCCCCATGATTGTGGTGCCTTCAAAACAAGACTGAGGGATCTTTTAAAGGCCTTTGCAGGTGTTTTGAGTAAATCAGCTGATTAGAGTGGCAGCAGGTGTCTTCTATATTCAGCCTTTTCAGAATATTCTAATTTTTTGAAATACCAAATTTGGAGCTTTCATTAGTTGTCACTTATGAATATCAAATTTCAATGTAATGAACATTGGAAATACATTGGTCTGTGTGCATTGCATGAATATAATGTACAAGTTTCACGTTTTGAATGGAATTACTGAAATATTTTCAACCTTTTGATGATATTCTAATTTACTGGCCAGCACCTGTATAGTGTATGTGAATTCACTTACGTTGTTTTATGCTAAACTAAGAAAACCAACTGCTGCCAGGTCATATTTGGCTGGTTAAAAAATGCTTTTTCTGACTTGTCTAGCTCTGGGGAATCTTAACAAGACACGGTTTTACTGAGTGGTGGAATATTCCTTTAAGTTAAAATGTACTTGTGGAAACCAGTTTACAAGAAAAAACTTGAATGTTAAATTTATGCTGTGACTAAGTTTGTGTGTTCTGTTGTTTTTTTTTTTGAGATCTGCTAAATAAATCTTATTTGCATCACTTGGAAACCCGAGTGAGTTATTGAGACAGTTCTTTGGTGTGTGATAGAGAAATAAGTTTGCATCAAAAAGGCAGAGAATGAAGGGTTTAAAGGAGCATTATGGAAGTCTGACAGTCAAAACATGTATAGAAATAATAAATGTCTTCTTCACATTCTCCTGCAATGCCCTGGTCCTGTAGAATGAGCCCTGGCATTTTTACTGTGATTGCCTGTTTTTCTGTAAAATCACAGAAAAAGAGAGCTGCTCGGGTCGAGCAGGCTGCTTCATGCGCGTTCACGCCAAGCCCCCACAATGCAGGTGAAATATTGAGACCAACCCGGAAGTACCAAATATTGCAGTTCCACCCTCATCCACTAGGGGCTGGTGCCAGAAGCGAGCAAATCCTCTTTGACTCCCATGCTAAAAATACCAATTTCACAGCAGAAATAAACATTTTACAGCCTGGTACCAAAACATGTTTTTGGTTTAAATGTTGCTGCCAGGCGGGAGGCAGGGACTGCATTCTGACCAATCTTTGTAAACCTAGAAGGAAGACCGCATTCACATGAGGTTAAAAGATACATTTAAATGTCTGTCACGAGTTTCCCTACAACTTCCTGTTCATCCGTCCATCTGGACAGAATCTGTCCACACAAGAATGTCCTCAGCAGGACCTGGGAGTCTCCATATGCAACACCAATAAAAAGCAAGTTGGAGGCTCTGTTCCATTTTTGGTTATGAGAAAAACATCTTGGGATTCAGAAAGCAACAGCTGAACGGCTGAGAGGCCACACTGAACGGCCACGGGCTTTACGGATAAGCCGCTCTGCGGAGAATCCTGAAACGTACTAAATCTTTTATCACCGGCCAGCATGACGTTAGGAGACTCCTATTAAAGTTGGTTTCAGAAGAGTCCCGTTTAAGCTCACTATCTGTTTTAGGGCGGCTGCAAATAGTCCTCTTAGTGTATAACAAACACCATTGGGTTGATTGCAGTGGAGACACTTTTAGACAACAGATTTCCACTGAAACAACAGTTCTCCTCCACAGCATTAGTCTGAGCGGTGGCCCTCTGTATGCTACTCCAGAGCACACGTTCATAAGGTTTGATCAGAGAGTTTAGCCCCAACCGCAGGTTCTACGGTACTAATCGGTGTATCAGAACACTTTAAGAGGACACGGTGTGTAACCAATACTCGACGGCATCGGTGCATCACTAACAAAGTCTGACCCCACTGCCCTGGATCTGGAGTTTGAAAATAAATATAAATAATTTATCTGAACGAATGATACTCTGGAGACAAATGTACGAGACCCAAAATAAGCTAGCCAAAAAAATAAATAATAAAAAAGAGCAAACAACTCATTCCTGCATCAGCAGCAGCCTGTGTGCTTATCTAACAAAGGTGGATTTTAGGAGTCTCATTTGGTCTCTAGATCATAAGTGATTGGTATTTACTCACTCCTCCCTCGGACCCCGCCAGTGCCAGCGCCCTCTCCGCCAACCTGCACGTTAGAAACAACAACACAGGAGCTAATGCAGCTGCAGACCTGGGCTACATTCACACTGCGGGCTAAAGCGCATCAATTCCATTTTTCCCCCACGTGACCCATATCTGATTTTCCCGTGACTGAACAGCATAGATCCGATTTTTCCCAAATCTGACCCATGTCACTTTCATATGTGGTAGCGATCCGCCTTTCACGTCACCGAGTCAGCGGATGTTAGCGTGGTGTTTCTGAGGAGAAGCACAGACAGAAACATTCAGAGGTCTGTTTAGAAATTAAAAACACCGAAGAGCATGAGAACAGGAGGTGCTGATGGAGCAACGCGTCATTCCGGTTTCGGCTCTCCGTGAGGAAGAGAGGGGTGTGTGTGTGTGTGTGTGTGTGTGTGTGTGTGTCCGTGAGTTCTCCATGAATTAACTTAATGCTGGAACATTTTCAGTGAATAATGATTCGGAAAGATGGCGGAAATAAGGAGTTAAATAGTTTACGTTTTTTTTTTTTACAGTTTCCAGCCCAAAACAAGAGACTTGACCGGCGTGATCCTGAAGTTGTGAATGAACTTTCAGTGAAGGTTTTCATATCACAACTCTACCTCTCCTGGTTGACTCCACTGTGACTCCTTATCTTCTGCGCATGCGGGTCGCTTTGGGACCGTGGAGCGTTCACACTGGAGAGAGTTTGACATCTCATTTCAATCATAGTGTGAATGTCCACACACACAAAAAAAATCAGATTTACTCAAAAAAAAAAACAGAACTGAGCATCAAGACCTGCAGTGTGAACGTAGCCTAAGACAACTGAAGAAACTAGAACCAGAAGAGAGAGACGTCACATTTACCTCCGGAGGACCTGAGCCTCCTCCCTCGTCACCGCGCTGTCTGTAACTGCTCGGCCACATTTCTGAGGTGTGCATCCTGAGGGAGACACACGGGAAGGGAAGGAGTTTACTTCTACAGGCCTGCAGCTGAGACAGGAAGCAGCACGTAGACCAAAATAAAGGTTGTTTAAGAAAACCCCCGTCATGGCTTTGCTGCAGCATCCTGATGGAGAGTACCGCTCTGAGAATAAGCTGTGCTTATTCTGTGATGCTGCATCGTTTCAAAAAATAAAAACTCCATTGGGATTATCTTTGAAAGTACAAAATATATAAAGAGTTACAGTTGAGGAGTTTTTATTTCAAACATTATTGGTTTTATTTCTAAACTAGAAGATCAAAAGCTCAAACTGCTTTAAACTCCCAGGCTTGGCCTGTATTGCCACCTAGTGGAATAAACCTGTTTGACAGATCACACCTTCCTAATGTCTTATTTAAAAACTAAAAATGTTTAACTTGTTTTTTAGATTCACACTAAATACAGAGAATCTACTCTGAATATTGAGGAGCTGATACGTTTTGCCTCCGTCCCATTTCCACATACGATGAAGGTAAAGACCCCATCCTCACCTGGATACCGTTTGTAGTTGTCGTAGTCTTCAGAGCATGGGACAAGGTAGACTCTGGGCTCAGGAGAGATGATTTCCCTCTGGCGGGCCAGACTCTCTGTGATGTCACTGTCCAAAGAGGTCACGTAGAGCCAAGTAGCCGCCGCACAGCCACACGTAACAACCAGAAGCAGGGCTAACAGACCGCGAGACCCCCGCCACGAAGACCCCTGCCTCAGGGCATTTCCTCTGAGAAAGACAGGAAATGTTTAGAGGGCCAAAATAATCGGAACTCGCAGCTCAGAGGATTTCTGGATTTAGTTCAAACCGTTTCATTTCCTCAGGTTGTCATCTCCCCACCCCCCCACGTGGACCACTCTCAGATCCTCTCCGGTGTCTTCCAGGACAACTTCAAAATTAACAGGTCCTGTTCTCCGGACCACCCTGTAAGGTCCCCTCCATCTGGGAGCAAGTTTTGCTACAAAGGCCTCATCTCCTTTTGACAAATGGTGGGTATGAATCCAGACAGTCCTTTTCAGAAAACTCTCCATCTCTTCGTCCTTTGTCATAATGTTTTTTCTGGTTCTGCTTCACTTTCCTCAGATTATCTGCCACGAAGCCTTGTAACCCAGATTTTTGTCTGACTAAATGGTACACATTCCCAACAGAGCTGCGGGGAAAGGGTCCCATGAGGTCGACACCGAGCATCTCCGAGGGCTCGCAGACTTCTGTTTGCTGAAGCTGTCCAGCTGGTTTCCGTGTCTCTGGTTTGCGTAACTGGCATGTTTGGCAACAGCGTACGTGATGTTGGATGTCAAACCTCATTTTTAGCCAGTAAGCAAGGGATTGTAGTCTTTTGTAGGTCTTGTATCTTCCAAAATGACCCGACAGAGGGTCGTTATGGAAATGATGGAGGAGTTGTTGACGCAGCGAAGGAGGGATATTTACCTGGTAAATGGTCTTGAGGGGAAGCATGACCACGCGGTATACTTTGTCCTCCAACACAGTGTATTTGACTGACTTTCTTCAACTTCTCCTTTCTCCATGATTTCTTTTTTATAGATTTTGAGCAAATGGATCCTGTTGTTGTTCTCTCCAGAGTTTTTCATGTTGTAACTGACAGAGTAATGAACTTTTCCCAAAGTCATCCAGGTGAGCCTCATTGACAGCATTCTGTAGGGACTTGGGCACGATGGAACAGACAGTAGGTGGGCTGGTGCAACAGCAGAAAAAAAGCAAGCTGATGGCATTTTGTAGATGTCCATGCTGATGAATCTAGCATAAATGAATACAGTTGCCTCTTGTTGGACTTAAACCAGTATCTGTGTTCAGACATCAAATCGCAGACCTGAGAGTGAGATGAAGTCAAGGCCCAGAACAACAGGAAAAACCAGACTTTGGGTAGGTAATATGACACAAGGTTGTGTAGTTGTTTGAGTTCGTAGGGTTTAAGTGACCTCACCCCACCCAAGTGGTTGTCTGCCTTCTCCATGCGCAAGATATAAAAGGTCCTCGCTCCCAAGGCTTCATACCTCCTTTGATCTTATAAGTTCAATAAAAATTTATATTGGGAAAAAAAATTGTGAGAGAATCGTGATCTCAATTCTAGGGGAAAAAAATCGTGACTCTTAATTTATCCAGAATCGTGCAGCCCTAGTTGCTAACCATTTAAACATTCTCCCTCTCCTAATAATAACACTTTACTTTCTTTGACATTGGATGTGCTACTACTAGTTTAGCCGTTTAATTATAGATTCACTAGGATAAATACAATAAAGTTTATCTCTCACCAAATATAATACTTACTAAGAAATCACAATGTAACCATAGAAACACTACTTGGTCTATATGGTGTGTGTGAGGATGTGTGTTTGTGTATGGGTGGGCTGGTGTGTGTGTATGCGTATTTCTGCTCTGTCTTCTCCATCCCCAGTGAGTCGTGGAGGATGGCTGCTTATACTGAGCCAGGATTCTCTGGAGGTTTCTTCATGTTAAAAGGAAGTTTTCCTCTCCACTGTCGCTGCATGCTTGCTTAGTATGAGGATTGCAATTTGCTGGGTTCCTTATATAGGAAACTTTTTTCTGATACTGACCTGTATTGGAATGTGTACTATGTGAAGTGCCTTGAGATGACTCTTGTCGTGATTTGGATAAATAAATAAACTTGAATCTCGCGATTTATTAATTTTTTTATAAGTCATATGATAAAGGCCAAATAAAGACAGAAACTTGCATGAAAACGGTTTTTTTTCTAATCATATTGGCTCGAAGTTCATTCTAACTCTCAGCTCAGGGTCTTTTTATGTAGGGGAGGATAATATAGAAAATACAAACTATATTTTAATCAGTGGTACATCGAAATAAAATACAGCAAACAACTTGACTTTTACCATTTCAGAAAAAAACAGTCCGGGATTCTGTTCAACCAGAGAAATAAACATAAACGTTGCTGTGTTAGTAAAACGTTATTTTACCATGCTTTTAGATGTTGCCGTGTCCTCATTCAGCAGTGTTTCTTATCCCTTCAACGTGCGTGGATTAAGTGGCTAAGCTAAGCGTTCGCCCCTTTTCATTTGCTTACCTCTTGATTTTCCTCTCTATCTCAGCTGCGTTTGGGCCCTTCGTGTTCCTGAGTCGCAGCAGAGCCATGTCTCCTACTCACAGATTCCACCAACCTTCACAAACGATACAAACCATCCCGAACGCCGCGCCAACAACTTGTACCGCCGCCGGATGCTCTTCACTTCCTGGTGCCCGCGATTCGACCTCTCCCATTGGCTGAGGCGGAAGAGAAAGACGTGCTGTGATTGGACCACGTACATTGCCTGCCACCGCTTCACAAACACAGAGCGGGTTTGCAGCTTGCAGCAGGTGATTATTGGAAAAATGTTGTAGATAGTGCTCCGCCGAGACTATTATTGAAGATTTTCGGAGCTGTTATACCTCGTGTTGTTAAACTGTGGCTTCTTAGCTTTAGGCTTATTTTAGGTCGTGTTTACTCTAATAATTTGGTTTGTTATTTTGTATTTTATCTGTTATTTTGTTCTTATTGAATGTCTCCTTGCTATGTGGATGCTCTCTACATAAGGGTTATTATTATCGTCATCGTCTTCCTCCGCTTATCCGGGTCCGGGTCGCGGGGCAGCATCCCAACTAGGGAGCTCCAGACCGTCCTCTCCCCGGCCTTGTCCACCCAGCTCCTCCGGCAGGACCCCAAGGCGTTCCCGGACCGGATTGGAGATGTAACCTCTCCAACGTGTCCTGGGTCGGCCCGGGGGCCTCCTGCCGGCAGAACATGCCCGAAACACCTCCCCGGGGAGGCGTCCAGGAGGCATCCTGACCAGATGCCCAAACCAACTCAACTGACTCCTTTCGATCCGGAGAAGCAGCGGTTCTACTCCGAGTCCCTCCCGAATGTCCGAGCTCCTCACCCTATCTCTAAGGCTGAGCCCGGACACCCTACGGAGGAAACTCATTTCGGTCACTTGTATCCGCGATCTCGTTCTTTCGGTCATTACCCAAAGCTGATGACCATAGGTGAGGATTGGGACGTAGATCGACCGGTAAATCGAGAGCCTGGCTTTCTGGTTCAGCTCCCTCTTCACCACGACAGATCAGCTCAGCGTCTGCATCACTGAAGATGCCGAACCAATCCACCTGCCGATCTCCCGATCCCTCCTACCCTCACTCGTGAACAAGACCCCGAGATACTTAAACTCCTCCACTTGAGGTAGGACCTCTCCCCCGACCCGGGGTTGGCAAGCCACCCTTTTCCAGTTGAGAACCATGGTCTCAGATTTGGAGGTGCTGATCCTCATCCCAGCCGCTTCACACTCGGCCATGAACCTACCCAGCAAGAGCTGAAGGTCTGAGCTGGATGAAGCTAGGAGGACCACATCATCCGCAAAAAGCAGAGACGAGATTCTCCTGCCACCAAACTCGACACACTCCACACCACGGCTGCGCCTAGAAATTCTGTCCATAAAGGTAATGAACAGAATCGGTGACAAAGGGCAGCCCTGGCAGAGTCCAACCCTCACCGGGAACAGATCCGACTTACTAACGGCTATGCAGACCAAACTCACGCTCCTCTGGTAAAGGGACTGAATGGTGTTTAACAAAAGGCCACCCACCCCATACTGCTGGAGCGTCCCCCACAGGGTGCCCCTGGGGACACGGTCATAAGCCTTCTCCAAATCCACAAAACACATGTGGATTGGTTGGGTAAACTCCCATGCCCCCTCCATCACCCTTGCAAGGGTATAGAGCTGGTCCACAGTTCCACAGCCAGGACGAAAGCCACATTGCTCCTCCTCAGTCTGAGATTCAACTATCGATCGGACCCTCCTCTCCAGTACCTTGGAGTAAACCTTTCCAGGGAGGCTGAGGAGTGTGATCCCCCTATAGTTGGAACACACCCTCAGGTCACCCTTCTTAAAGATGGGGACCACCACCCCAATCTGCCACTCCACAGGAACTGCCCTCGATGACCACGTAATGTTGCAGAGACGTGTCAACCATGACAGCCCTACAACATCCATAGCCTTGAGATACCCAGGATGAATCTCATCTGATCCCGGGGCTCCGCCGCTGTGTAGTTGTTTGACTACCTCAGCAACTTCTGCCCCCGAGATTGGACAGTCCATCCCCAGGTCTCCCGGCTCTGGTTCCTCCTCGGAATGCGCATTGGTGGGATTGAGGAGCTCCTCAAAGTATTCCTTCCACCGTCCGACTATAGCCCCAGTTGATGTCAGCAGCTCCCCATCCCCACTGTAAACAGTGTGAGCGAGTTGCTGCCTCCCTCTCCTGAGGCGCCGGACAGTTTGCCAGAACCTCTTTGGAGCCGATCGATAGTCGTTCTCTATGGCCTCACCAAACTCCTCCCACGCCCGAGATTTTGCCTCGGCAAATGCCACTGCTGCACCCCGCTTGGCTATCCGGTACCTGTCTGCTGCCTCCGGAGACCCACAGACCAGCCACGCCCTGTAGGCCTCCTTCTTCAGCCTGACGGCTCCCCGAACCTCTGGTGTCCACCAGCGATGTCACGGCTGCCAGCCATGAGTGAAAAGCAGGAGCCAGGATCACCCAGCCCTAGTGATCAGCCTGACACCGCCCCTCCTTCTCCTCTCTCCCAGGCTGCTGAGGAGCACAGCTGAGCTGAATCCTGCTAATTACCAACACCTGTATAAAAAGCCTGTGCCTTCAGCAGTCTGGGAGGCAGCAGTGCAGGGGTTCTGCTGTCCTCCAGGTCTCGGTTTGATTTAACCCCTCTCGTTGTGATGAGTTTTAAACTTTGGTAGTTTTAACTCTTAGTGATGAGTTTTTGGATGATCCAGTGGGATCTTGTGATGTTTGAGTTAGAGGTTAACTTTGTTTGTGGCAATGTTATTGACTTTGGGTTTAAACACCTTCGGTTCGGTAAAGCTTTTAAAATAAGTTTTACCAGGTGTTTTTATAGTTGATAATTTGTGTAATGTTAACCTTTTTGAGAGTTTTGTTTGTTTTTGCATTATCTTTATAATGCGCGCCATCTGTTTGCTTGTTTTTAGAACCTTTTATTACAAATAAAACAATTTTAAACTCCACCGTAATCTTTCTTATGTTACCCCCTCCTTCGCATTTTAACATCTCTTGTCGGGGACGTAACAAGCGGGTACGGGGGTTGCCACCACGACTGGCACCGGCCACCTTGCGCCCACAGCTAGCAACAGCCGCCTCAATCGCAGAGTGGAACAAGGCCCACTCGGAGTCAATGTCCCCCACTGCTCTCGGGACGAGGTCAAAGCTCTGCCGGAGGTGGGAGTTGAAGACCATCTTAACAGGTTCTTCTGCCAGGCATTCCCAGCAGACCCTCACTATGCGTTTGGGTCTGCCAGGTCTACGTGGCATCTTCACCTGACATTTGATCCAACTCACCAGCAGGTGGTGATCAGTTGACAGCTCCGCTCCTCTCTTCACTCGGGTGTCCAAAACATATGGCCGCAGGTCAGATGATACGACTACAAAGTCTATCATCGACTTGCGACCTAGGCTGCCCTGGTACCAAGTGTACCGATGGGCATCCTTATGTTGGAACATGGTGTTCGTTATGGCCAAACTGCGGCTTGCACAGAAGTCCAATAACGAAACTCCACTTGAGTTCAGATTAGGCGGGCCATTCCTCCCAATCACACCCCTCCAGGTTAAGCTGTCATTGCCCACGTGAGCATTGAAGTCCCCCAGCAGGACAATTGAGTCCCCTGATGGAGCACTATCTAGCACTCGTCCCAGGGACTCCAAAAAGGGTGGGTACTCTGAACTGATATTTGGCCCATAAGCACAAACAACAGTCAGGACCCGTTCCCCGACCCGAAGGCGCAGGGAAGCTACCCTCTCGTCCCCCGGGGTAAACCCAACACACAGGCAGAGAGTCTTGGGGCTAACAAAAAGCCAACCCCAGCCCTCCGCCTCTCACCTGGAGCAACTCCAGCAAAGGAGAGTGTCCAACCCCTCTCCAGGTCTCGGGTTCCAGAACCAATGCTATGTGTCGAGGTGAGTCTAGCCGGTACCGCTCAACCTCTGCTACAAGCTCCTGCTCCTTCCCCGCCAGAGAGGTGACATTCCATGTCCCAAAAACCAGTTTTCTTGTCCGGGGATCGGACCGCCAAGGCTCCCGCCTTGGTCTGCCACCCGATCCACATTGCACCGGACCCTTCATGTTCCTCCTGCGGATGGTGGGTCCACAGTTGGACGAGCCCATGTATACGGTTCGGGCTGGGTCCGGCCGGGCCCCATGGGCGAAATCCCGGCCACCAGGCGCTCGCTCATGGGCCCCAACCCCAGGCCTGGCTCCAGGGTGGGACCCCGGTAACCCTCCGGGCCGGGTACTCCGACTCCTTGATAGTTCATCCGTGAAAGATCCTATGAACCGTTCTTTGTCTCACCCTTCACCTAAGACCAATTTGTCATGGGAGACCCTACCAGGGGCACAAGGTGCCCCAGACAACATAGCTCCTAGGATCAATAGGGCACTCAAACTCCTCCACCACGATAAGGTGACGGTTCAAGGAGGAGGGTTATTATAATAATAATAATAATAATAATAATAATAATTAGTATTATTATTATTATTATAAGCAAACTTTTACACCACATTGTAATAATTTGAACTATCAGATATAATTTATAAAATAGGACTTTTTTGTTGCAAATACTGAATGGGGGAAAAAACTGGTTGGGGGTCTTCCAACCATTAGCTGTTGTAAGATCTTGTAAAGGACACTAATTTCATTCTTGCTCACTTTCTGAACCTGCCCACTCCTGACCAAAACCACAATCCCATTTCCAACAGAGACTGGGCGAGGAGCAGAGGACATTCTGTACAAGTCTCCAGGCCATCACAGCAGGGCCACACACCTGGACTCTCTTGATCAGCTTGCATCCCACACCAAACCTTCTGTCAGAAATCTTGGTGTGACCTTTGACCCAGCTCTCACCCTGGATTCTCATGTCAGTTCTCTTGTTGGCTCTTCCTTCTTCCATCTCAGGAACATTGCTAAGCTGAGTCCCATTCTGTCCCGCTCTGAACTTGAGACAGTTCTCCACACCTTCATCTCCTCACGCTTAGACTACTGTAACTCTCTTTTCACGTGTCTGAGCAGAACCTCCCTGAACCGTCTACAGGTGGTTCAGAATGCCTGTGCTCGGCTTCTGACCAAGTCCTCCAAACACACCCACATCACCCGCTTCTCCTCCAGCTTCACTGGCTGCCAGTCAACTCCAGGGTTCATTTCCAGATCCTGGTTCTGGTCTATAGGGCCTTACATGGACAAGCACCATCTTACATTGGTGATCTTCTTAGTCCCTACACCCCCAGCAGGTCCCTGAGGTCCAGTGACCAAAGCCTACTGGTTGTGCAGCACCAGGCTAAATATGACCTTCTTCAACCACCCTCTCTTTATTCTGCTCTCCCCACCTATTCCACCTTCCTCAGGATCCACTGATTTCCCTCTTTCCTGTTCACTCTTAGCCTAGTGAACTAGACCAAATTCTTGCTTTGCAAAGAATGAATACAATACAATAAATAATACATTTATTTAGTCTGGCTTGCCTGGCTAATTCACTCTCTCTCTCTTTCTTAACATTTTTTCTTTTAAATCCCAATTGTCTATATTTGCTCATTTTAAATATATTTTTAAACATTTTCTAAATGCTTTTTTATATTTTTACATTTTTTGTTTTTGTGAAATCTCATGATTTTTATCTTGAGAGGTGCTATAGAAATGATACTTTCTTCTTCTTCTTCTGGACAATGAAGAGTATATTTGACTTTTATTCTCAGACATTTATGCTAGTAATTATCAAACATTTGACTTTTATTATAATTATTTTAACTGTGTGATTACAAAATATTTTAAAGTAAAGATGATCCTGACGTTTCTGCATGTTTTTAGATTCCATCCAACCCTTTTCCAGCATTTATTTCATTTAATATTAGCTGTTTTCCCTGGCTCTAACATACCGTGGTAGCTGAGGTTTCACGTTTGAGGTTCACAGCTTGTTCGAGTCAGTGGCGGATTTAGCAATTTGGGGGCCCAAGGTGAACACAGGCCCCCTTACACTAAATTTTTGACAATCTTATCTTTAACTGGATTTGCGAAACTCTCCCCTCTTCTGACATGAGTTATTTTCACTTTTTATTAGGCCTCCTCCTTTTTCATGTCTCTCTCCCTTTGAGTGCCTTCAATATTTGCTCTGCTTTCTTCTTCCTGTCAGTGCTCCTGTGCTTTTGCCTTTGTTTTTTTTCTTCTATTTGCCATTTTGGTCTATGTTTTCCTCCCTTTAAACATTTTCCATAGTCTTTCCTTTTCTGCTTCGTTTTGATGTTTATGTTTATGTTTATGTATTTAGCAGACGCTTTTGTCCAAAGCGACTTACAAGTGATAATCGGCTAACAACAAGTGGTTTACATAGAAAAACGACGTCATTTCAGAAGTGAAGATAAAAGCTTTTTAGAAGCATCCTGCTTCTTTCTCTTATTGGAGACACTAGGATAACTCCATTTCATGCTTAATGTTTTGACTACTGCTTCGAGTTTGTTACGAACGCTCCTGCCTCTCCTTCTGTTTTCTCGTCTTCTTCTTATTTGTGGTCTTATGGCACCGCAAACAACAATTTGGTGCATTACTGCCACCAACTGGATTGGAGTGGAATGACTACCAATTACTTGTTTGTGCATCGGCGTCTTAAAGGAATAGTCCATTGTGACATTAACAGAGAGGTGCCAGCAGTCAGAGCAAGGGGGCCCCTAACATAAGGAGGCCCCAGGCGACCGCCGACCCATGCCTAATGGTAAAACCGCCACTGGTTCGAGTTGAGCAGCGCCTCGCCTGGAAAACAGGCGAGAGCAGATGGACGCAGCAGTGGGCGTGGCTGAAAGCCGGCATTTAAGCCGAACAGATTTCCCATATTCAAAACCAGTTATTAAACATAGACTCCAAACTTAACGATTGTAAATTTAAACTCAACTCCTGGTTACGACGACGTTTGTCAATATTTGGACGAATTTATTTAACTGAAATGGAATGCTTATCTAGATGCATATATCCCGCTTATTCTACTGTAATCCAAACCAAGTTAATTAAAACAATAAATCAAATGAATTTTAATTTTATTTGGAGAAATAAACCACATTATATGAAAAAAGACTTAATGGTTAAAAGCATTGAGGATGGAGGACTAAATGTTATAGACTTTGATTGCCTAAATGGGATGATAAAGTTAAACTGGATCAAATCATGGCTTAAAGACATTCACTCCTTCTGGTATTGTGTTCCTCGATATCTGTTTCAAAAAATGGGAGGACTGGAATTTCTCTTGAAAGCAGATTACGATGTTAACAGATTACCAGTTAAGTCATCAAACTTTCATAAACAAATTCTTATGTATTGGGAAATGATATATACTCACAATTTCTCACCACACTCTATCACCCTGTGGAACAACAGATATATTAATCATATAAATCAATCACTTTTCTTTAATGAAAGGCATGAGAAAGGCATTTGTTCTATGTTTCATATTTTGGATCACTGGCAACTTTCTCAATTATGAAAATCTATGCGAAAAATACAATTTCAGGGCAAATAAATCTGTTTACTTTAAACTTATCCAAGCTATTACAATAGGTTTAATCAATCTAATACAAGGTGCTTTACTTTATCAAAACATTACTCCGTTATTACCATCCTTATCAGTAAAAGACATTTCAATACTTGATGAAAAATGTAATAAAACATTTTTAAGAAAACTCTTAAATGATAATATGTATACAGAAAACCCCAATAGAAATAACATATTACACAAATTTGATCAAGCTACAGTCGAAAAATGTAGAACCTTTTATTTAAAATTCTGTATCTTTCCGAAGAGTAAAGAAACTCATTTTTAAATTTATGAATGATATTTATCCATCGAAAGAATTACTCAGATTACGTTTCAAAATTAATGATAATATTTGCACCTTCTGTAACAGTGACATTGAAATTGCGAAACATCTATTTGTCACATGTCCTCAGGTGTTTTGGGTGGGTATAAATAAATGGTTAAAGAAAGCTTTTCCACTGATAGAACCATTTACCATAGACGATATTATTTTTGGGATATTGATTAATTATAAATTGGATGAAACATGTATTAACACAATTGTTTGTCTTGCCAAATTTAATACACATAAATGTAAATACTTAAAGGTCCCCCAAAAATTCATTATCTTCATTTGTGAATTTAAATTATATCTAGATTCACCAAAATTACTAACTGGAAATAAATCTACAACTATATATAATAAACTTGTAGTTCTTCCCCTTGCGTTAGAAACGTGACGTATTTTGCTTTATCTCGCTTATTATGCCTCTTTTTTCACTTCTGTCTTGTATATTCTGTTTACTTTCTTTTGTTGTGTTCCGGTTCCCTCTGACTGTTAATTTTCAAATATATAATTGATTCTATGTACACCATTTCTTGTTAAGTATTCTTGAAAATGTTCAATAAAGTCACTGTCAATAAAAATAAAAAATAAAAAATCTCGATTAAGCCCGTTCACAGCTTGGTTGAGCGCGTTCCCGCGATAGAATACGCAATTCTCGGCATAACACCGGAAGCTCCACACTTCCTGGCTTCTGGTCCACTCCTATTGGCTGAGCTCGACGCGAACGCTCTGCTGTGATTGGACCAGCTCCAGATCGCCTACAGCTGCACCAACACAACAGAGCAGGTAACTCGAATTATAACTTCTCGTTTCCCAAAATACACGGACTTTAATCTGGTCTCGTTCCGCGTTCGCTTTATCATTAATGACTCCGTTCGTTGGGACTACTTTCTAACAGAAACACTCCGGTGAGTCCAACTAACCGGAAACGGAGCTCACCTGCAGCTGCTCCGTGACTACGGCGGGGTCCAGCGGCAGGTAGGATGTCGTCCAAACCCTGGCCCAAAGGCAGAAAACTGGTCCACCTGGACCTGAAAGGCGCTCCCCCGCGAAGTGAATACCTCCACACGGTAAAAGTCTCTCCCTCCCCACAACATGTGTATCCTCTGGTGTCCTATTTACTCATGCTGGCTCTGTCTCACCTCCACAGCTGATACAGGTCTTCTCCCAGCTGGGAGCTGACGGCCTGCTGGTGGAGTATGAGGACATGTTTCCTTATGAGGGGGGTCTACAGCTGCTGCAGGCCACATCTCAGCCTGCTTACAGGTACAGACTGAGATATAAACACTGGGGCCAATCTGGGCTTTCTGGTTTGTTCTGCTGAATCTTACATCTTCATCCAGTGATGCCCCCAAAATATTAATGTACGTTGGGTGAACATTTCAGGGTGGCACAGGAAATCTGGGGGAAGTTTAGCGCTGTAGCTGTATTATTCCTTTATTGTTTTAGGCATGTGCATCCAACACATTTACTTCAAAATGGAGAAATACAAACATTTCAGAAAAAAGACAAATTTACAAACAATTATTACAGCAATTGTTTATACATATATATACATCCACACACACACACACATACAGGGTTCCGCTGCTGTTTCTCACCAGTATCAGCTGATGGAGGGCTCTAGTTTTGTTGCGCCGTTCGTGTCAGCGGACACGGTAGGGTCTGGGAGGGGGGCAGGGCATGACGCTTAGCCTGGCGGCTGGCTTATAAAGCGCTGGGGAAACCCTGTATACATATATTTGTGTGTGTATGTATGTAGAGAGAGAGAGATCACAGACTGCAGATGGTGACCTGGCTTTGTTGCTATAAGTAATATTTGTGTTAGCTTGTTATTAGTGCAAGCTATAGCAGGCTGCAGCAGGTTGTTTACAACAGTTGTAATTCCACTTTCAATCGTGAGGACAGAGGAGCAGGAATTGTTTAGTGTTCCTTTAAGATCCAACCATTCAAGCATGATTTTTGTTCGCTGTTCAAGTGGTCTTAAGCTTTTGATTAGGACTGTACATTCAAAAATGAGTGTTTTAACTGGTGTAAAATAGGGCGACATATAGTTTGTCTGAGTGCAGTTGCCATAGTGTGATAACATCTGGAGACGCAGGTCCTCAAGCTGGTGTGGCACTATGAGCACTTCCGCGCCACCACAGCTGGCCATTGAGGATGCCGAGGGGAGCAGCAGTGTGTTATAAACGTGTTGATTTAAAAGTCTTACATTTTCTGTTTGCTGTGATGTTTCTCTTTAGCCTAAAGGAAGTGTTGTCCATGCAGGAGTTTGCTAAATCAAAGGGTATGGAGGTGATCCCACTCGTGCAGACTTTCGGTCACATGGAGGTTTGGCAAATTATCATCTGCTGTCTTGTTAAACAACAACTTCTAAAGAGTTTGAGTTGTTAAAGTTTTGTCCCCCTTCTTCTGGTATAGTTTGTGTTGAAGCATCGGTCCATGTGGCCCCTCAGAGAGGTCCCACACTGCGTGGGCACACTCAATCCCCACAAAGAGGAAGGGGTGAAGCTGGTGATGGAGATGCTGAGGCAGGTGGTGGAGCAGCATCCTGGTCTGAGCACGCTGCACATTGGAGCAGATGAGGTAGGAGTGAGTGTATGTGTGTATATGTCGCTCGGTGGCGGTATCTGAGGAGTCTTGTGTCTGCTTCGCTTGGAGGTTTACATGCTTGGTGAGGGGGAGGAGTCCAAACAGTGGCTGCTTTCACCTGAACATACAGTGGAGCAACTTTTCCTGAGTCATGTGACCACGGTGGCCAAAGCTGTAAAGGAGGCGTGGCCTCATTTGTCCATCATCATGTGGGATGACATGATGAGAGGCATGAGCCAGGACACGCTAAAAGGTGAGGACAATCGACCTTTCAGTCGCAGAGATCTTCGGGACACTGCTAGATGTAGCGTCACTAGACTGGACTGCCTGGTTTTGTTATTTGTGTTGCAGCAAGTGGTCTGGTTGGCCTGGTGCAGCCGATGTTGTGGGACTACACCCCTAACCTGAATGTGGAGAAAACTGGTAGGAATGAAATGTGATTTTAAACTCCATGATCAACAGTTCTGTTCTGCTTCAACCTCCTGGGGCCCAAACTTGAATTTGGCATTATTTAAAAGGAAAAACACATCTTGCTATTACAGATTATGAGTAGCTTAGGAGTAGCTGCAGCCCAGGGCCACATGTGGAACTTGAATGCTTCACATCATCTGGAGGATGAGCAGGATTTCTCTCTGCAGGACATCTGGTCTCCTGCGGGTGAGTCCTGGTAGTTTAGCTCAGTAACATCTTAAAAAGGTTTGCGAGCAGCTCTTAGCGCGGGTACAAGCAAGTGTCGGTATTTGTCCCCAAGTGAGAGAAGAAATAGTCGAGTTCTTCTGCCACTTAAGAGTCCGAGTCAACAGATGCAGAACCATGAAGGCTGATGGCATGTGTACTGGTGTAGCACTCTGACCAGCGGTCTAACCAGAGCTACAAAGTCAACTTCAAAGATTTGAGACACTTGAAATGTTAAACTAATGTCATAAGTTAAGTTTCACCACATTTTTATGTTCTTACTTTTGTCCATTTCAAGTTATTTAAGCGACCATCGAGTGTTTTTCCCTGACAGGAGGGTGCCAGCTGTTTCCCCGTAGTCTGTAGAAATCTGTAGGGTTTAAAGCTGCCTTGTCTTCTTCCGGCTCTTGGCGGGTTCAGACGCTTTTTTCCTCCTCTCCTCCATATCTTATCCTCAAGGCCTTTGTCTGTCTGTGTGTGCTGGGTGCACGGCTGCTTCTGCATTTAACTGGAAACTGAAATTCACTAAAATGTATCTCGTCAGCTGGTCTCTCAACGCGACTGATAAAAAATTTTCAACAATGAGAACGGGAGAAGGGGCTCCCGGATGTCCTGCCGGTACAGACCCAGTTGGACACATCATGGACTCCTGGAAACAGTGGAACTTGATTTGTTTATCTCAGCGGTCTGTGGAGGACTCTGAAGACGTGTGGATATTCGTGGTGTTGGCGTCAGGTTTCCTGCTCATTGGCCATGGAGGCTACCTGGCTTACGGGAAAATTAACGAGCTGTCAAGGAATATTGGCCTGATCCCGGAGCTCAGAGATGGATTGCACCGCGCCGTGAATTCACAGACTCACATAATTGTCGAGATGAATCGTAAGCTTGGGACTTGGCGGAGATTCATTATTGGCACAAAAGATGGATGCCATCAAGGAGAGAGTGGACGAATCAGCACGGATTGGGATAGATTAACGTCCATTATTGGGATTTTGAGAGGTTGAGGACCAAGGAACTTTAAGACAGAGAGGAAATTATCTCTGTCTGGCCCCAAAACAATTTCTAATCGGAATCTGGCGCCCTTGAGCCTGCAAGGCTCCAACGAAAACTCCCCCCTCAGAAGATATGTGGAATGTGCCGTCGCTATGGCAACTCAACTCTGTCTCCTTTCCCAGCCTGGGCGGGACTGTGGGAAAGCCGCTGAAACATTCCAGGGTCACTGCAACCCTAACCCTCAATGCTCCTCCCCTATCAACACTGAGGTGACATGCACTGCTTATCGTGGCTGTAGGAGCTGAAGTGTGGATAGTCCCAACCCACCACCCCACCTAGTGGACACTTATGTTGTGTTGTCTGAAGTCTGTTGCATATCTGTCTGAGGTGTTTTGTTGCAGAGCAAAGCTGCCCTCCCGGTGAAGGGTGACTCTGAAGTGCCTTTTTTTCCCTCCACCTGAACCAATCCTCAAGTAACCCCTCTGATCTCTACTACGGTAGCGCGACTCAGGGTTGCGTATGACCACAGTCACCAATTCTTGTCATGTGTCTTGCCCATGTTTGTCTGATCTCTGAATTGTGTGTACTGAAACTCTAATTTCCCTCTGGGATTAATAAAGTATCTTTGATGATTGATTGATTTGATTGAACTTTGTTCTAACTGTGCTTTCAGTGGCGTTGCTGGAGAAGTACTTTGGTGCTGGTATGTCGGACCTCTGGGCAGCCAGTTCCTTTAAAGGCTCCACCGCTGTTCACACCTGCGTGACGAACACACAGAGACATGTAGATAATCACCTGCAGTGGCTGAAGGTGGCTTCCTCTCTCTCTGCTGGCATCAGCCTGAGGGGCATCGCCATCACAGGCTGGCAAAGGTCAAAGTTGGAGCAAGCTAGCCACTCTTAAGTGGCCTTGCTGATGTTTCTGTGTTCCATATGGTTCACACGGGTCCGTTGTTTACCTGTGCTCAGGTATGACCACCTGTCGGTGCTGTGTGAGCTGATGCCTGTGGCTCTTCCATCTCTGGCAGCCTGTCTCCAGACTCTCCTTCACGGGGAGTTCAGTCTGGAGGCTCAGAGCAGTGTCACTCAGAAGCTGGGAGTGTCTTCAGTGGAGGTGGAGGCCATGGAGCGGTGAGGTCTGACCCTGGAATGAAGAACAACGCCGTCACCATGGTCACGTTTATAAGAGTTTTGCTTTCAGAACATCTGCTGCTGACTCGCTGTTCCCTGGAAGGAGGCTGGCTGAGTTCATCGTGGAGCTAAATTCACTACTTAGCTCAGAGGAGTTGAGGTTTTTTGAAAACAACATGTAAGTTATGAGCTGTTTGAAATATGTGACTCCTACAGTTTTATTTGAAATGAAGCCATGAGGAGGAAATGTTATTGGATTTGTTTGCACTCCAGGGCCAAGGGCTTGAAAACGTAGCTAACCGTAGCTTGAGTGCATTTGTTGAAAGTTTATTTTTTATAACCGGAAAAGCTTCCAGGTGTGACCCACTGAGCTGTGCTGCTGCAGGTATGTGAGAGGCTGGTTCAGCCCCTACCACCAACGCAGGAAGGTGGTCAACCCGCTGATCTCCATGCAGATCCACAGCCAAGCAACAGAGTAAGCATTCGCTTCTGCTTTAAGAGGATTTTACTGCTATTCTGCCTGAAATGCCAGAAATCAGTTTATCCCAGAATTCTCAAATGAAATGTTTTAAAATAAAAATTGTTAAAACGGCACAAAATTAGTAAAGGAAGCAGTTAAAAAACCCATATGTAAAAGAAAAGTCCAACAGGAAAATATACATGAAGGTTCTAGGCTTTGCTCAGACTAGCCGTTAGCTCGTCAGTCATACACTCTTTTTACAAACTGAGGCTGTTCAGGAAGCTAGCTACAACAGGTACGGTGGGGACTGTAACTGCCTCAAACCTCACCTTTACAGAGCTGTCCTTTCAGCTTCACAGTGACTCCTGTCTGTAATCTGATTACGTCTCAGGTTGTTGAAGTTGTTACAAAGGAAGAGCGAGGCGGTGAGGAAAGAGATGGTGGAGGTCTACCCGGACTCTACCGCTCAGGAGTGGATGGAGGAGCACGTCAGCCCTGTAGCAGCTCCTCTTCAGCGTCTAACACAACATATCCAAGTTTGTCTGCAGGACATGGTGCCATAAAAACGAGGTTTATCTCATCAGACCTTCGTTCTGGACTGGATTAGTCACATGTCGACATATTTTAGCATTTTTCTGTGCTTCTGCTCCTGCATGGGGCATGTGTGGGTTAGAGGCTGACAATTTTTGGGATCCCAATGGGTCACGTGATTCCCATGGAATGGGAGTCAATTTATAATCACAAAACAGGAAAATGATCAACAGGAGTGGGGCGGGAGTGGGAATAATAATGAATGTAGATTTTTGTTCAATATGAAACTCTTGTCTTTTAATTAATGTGCCATTTTTACTTGCATTTACAGTGGGGCAAAAAAGTATTTAGTCAGCCACCGATTGTGCAAGTTCTCCCACTTAAAATGATGACAGAGGTCAGTAATTTTCATCATAGGTACACTTCAACTGTGAGAGACAGAATGTGAAAAAATAATCCATGAATCCACATGGCAGGATTTTTAAAGAATTTATTTGTAAATCAGGGTGGAAAATAAGTATTTGGTCAATAACAAAAATGCAACTCAATGCTTTGTAACATAACCTTTGTTGGCAATAACAGAGGTCAAACGATTACTATAGGTCTTTACCAGGTTTGCACACACAGTAGCTGGTATTTTGGCCCATTCCTCCATGCAGATCTTCTCGAGAGCAGTGATGTTTTGGGGCTGTCGCCGAGCAACACGGACTTTCAACTCCCTCCACAGATTTTCTATGTGGTTGAGGTCTGGAGACTGGCTAGGCCACTCCAGGACTTTCAAATGCTTCTTACGGAGCCACTCCTTTGTTGCCCGGGCGGTGTGTTTGGGATCATTGTCATGTTGGAAGACCCAGCCACGTTTCATCTTCAAAGCTCTCACTGATGGAAGGAGGTTTTGGCTCAGAATCTCACGATACATGGCCCCATTCATTCTGTCCTTAACACGGATCAGTCGTCCTGTCCCCTTAGCAGAAAAACAGCCCCAAAGCATGATGTTCCCACCCCCATGCTTCACAGTAGGTATGGTGTTCTTGGGATGCAACTCAGTATTCTTCTTCCTCCAAACACGACAAGTTGAGTTTATACCAAGAAGTTCTACTTTGGTTTCATCTGACCACATGACATTCTCCCAATCCTCTGCTGTATCATCCATGTGCTCTCTGGCAAACTTCAGACAGGCCTGGACATGCACTGGCTTCAGCAGCGGAACACGTCTGGCACTGCAGGATTCGATTCCCTGCCGTTGTAGTGTGTTACTGATGGTGACCTTTGTTACCTTGGTCCCAGCTCTCTGCAGGTCATTCACCAGGTCCCCCCGTGTGGTTCTGGGATTCTTGCTCACCGTTCTCATGATCATTTTGACCCCACGGGATGAGACTTGCGTGGAGCCCCAGATCGAGGGAGATTATCAGTGGTCTTGTATGTCTTCCATTTTCTGATAATTGCTCCCACAGTTGATTTTTCACGCCAAGCTGCTTGCCTATTGTAGATTCACTCTTCCCAGTCTGGTGCAGGTCTACAATTCTTTTCTTGGTGTCCTTCGAAAGCTCTTTGGTCTTGGCCATAGTGGAGTTTGGAGTCTGACTGTTTGAGGCTGTGGACAGGTGTCTTTTATACAGATAATGAGTTCAAACAGGTGCCATTAATACAGGTAACGAGTAGAGGACAGAAAAGCTTCTTAAAGAAGACGTTACAGGTCTGTGAGAGCCAGAGATTTTCCTTGTTTGAAGTGACCAAATACTTATTTTCCACCCTGATTTACAAATAAATTCTTTAAAAATCCTGCCATGTGAATTTATGGATTTTTTTTTCACATTCTGTCTCTCACAGTTGAAGTGTACCTATGATGTAAAGTATTGACCTCTGTCATCATTTTAAGTGGGAGAACTTGCACAATCGGTGGCTGACTAAATACTTTTTTTCCCCACTGTAGTTCTGGCTGACCTGACCACGCGGGAAAACACGTTCAACATCTTCTCTTCACTTGCCAAAAGAAAAGAATCTTCCTTAAAACTAGAAACTGCAGAGCGTTTGTGGACAGTTTGCACTGATTCTGTGACACAGAGCTGATTTTCAATAATCCATCAGAGATCATCTCTGGTGTCTGCAGCAGCGCCTCTTCCGAGCATGACAAACACAAGGTCATTTCTTATTATTGCGATGTTTATGCTGAACTAAAACACCATTTTGTCCTTTATCAGAGTAGCTTAGCAAACAGCTGAGATAAACCCACATCTCTTAAAGGAGCAGGAACATTAGGCTTTATGAACTGTGAAGGACGTCGTAACATAAAAGGCGTGGTCAGGATTTTAAAAGCTAACGTTTTTCTGAATAAATCAGCCTTCCAATCTCTGCCTTCTGGCTGCATTTTCTGGCCGTGCCCTTTTAACCCTCTGGAGGCAGGCGTTGCAGATTAGCAACATTAAAACCTACCTGGTTACTCCACAAACGTGTTTCATGAGCATTTTTTAACTCAGAAGTACCCCTGAAGGACTTAGTTGTTCATCCTTTTATCAAAACTTATTTTGAGCCTGAGAGGGTTCAGCCTCAGCAGCAGATGAGGGATCGAGTGCAGCTGGAAAGGGAGTTGGTGCAGGAACATCCTACAGGAGCAGGTAAACAGGTGTTCATAACATGAACCATTAGAGCAGATAGAAATATTCGTGTGTATTCTGATGTTTCATAATATTGCCTAATAGAATCTCATAACTGTCTGATAAATTCTCGGTTTATTTTCTAAGCAGAGAGACGGTCAAATCCTCATTTTCTAAGTTTTGCAGAATTTTTTTTAATTATTTCATCATATTGTCACAATAAAAATATGTATATTATATAAAGGTCATTGTCCTACGTGCTTCAAAACCGTCGAGACACTCGTGTGTTCCTGTTTGGCAGATGTCGCTCAAATGTTTTTGCAAACCCTGGTCGCCATAAGTCACATGACCAGCGCTGAACGTCCTCTCGCGATGTGCAGCAACACGGAGGAAAACGCCCGTAACACCATGGAAAACACTTGTCGGGGATGTCTGAAGTTTTCTGGGAGCTGTCCGTGATGGAGTGGGAACGCCTCACACTGCTGTGGTTTTTTTGGGTTACACACCTTAAAAACAGCTGCTGGGACTGGGAGGGAGTGGGAATTATGTTGTTGGGATGGGGAGGAATTTTATTTTCCCTTGCTATCTGGGATTGGGACAAGAGCATTTTTGGGTTGGGAAAGCAGAGAAAATCCATTCCCGTGTCCCCCTCTAATGTGGGCGGAGGTCAGAGCAGAAGAAATGTTCACGTTTCTGTAAAAACAACCTTTATGTCGGCTCAGTGGTGTAGCACTTACATAAAAACCACACAAGACCGGATTAAACACACTTCTCTGTGAAAATCATCAGCACCGAGCATTAACCTGAGAACTGTCATTTCCTGGTGGAGCTCCGACAGTCCCTCATCCGGGTTTCCCACTGGGCTGGGTGGTCCACCGAACCGTCCGTCTCTGGTCCCACACGTAAACACTCGTTAGTGTCGGCAGGAATCCAGAGTCTTCTCTCAAACAGTAATTAGTTCAGAGGACTTGATCCTCTCTAAGGAGTGCTGGTGAAGAGAAAGTCATTTTGAAAAGTCAAGCAGAGTAAAGATGCGAGCAGGAGAGTGAACGCATCACTCTGAGGCCTGGACTCCATCCAGCCTGGGTTAGTCTGCTTCATCATCTGAGTCGGTGCTGTGGACGGGAGAGTCGTCCTCATCCTCTCCGTACTCGCTCTCCTGCTGCCTGCGACGCTGCAGCTCCTCCAGCCCCAGGAAGCGCTTCAGCAGAGCAGCTACAGCCTCCACGTCACTGAGGAGGAACAAGCACAGCGGTGAGGCACCAACTTAACCTCACCGTGGTTTCTGATAAAACCCGCAAGGCCCCAGTGGATGCACACCTACAACGGGTTAGGTTCTGGAGTTTACCCTCGTCTCAGAAACAGAACTATGAGCTGAAAGTGACGTGTGAGCAGCTTCACCCACGACAAACCAAAAGGCTAACGGCTGCTGTGATTCATCCTGTAACGTTAGTTTTAGGATCTGACCAAAACAACCGGAACTCTGACTTTCCTCAGCATATCTTAATCTAAAGCTGTCATGACAGGAAACAGCTGATACGGCTTCCTTTAGTGATCTCAGTCACTCGATTTTTTATTAATCTGTTTATTTATTATTAAGAGCCAGCAACGGCAGAGTCGCATTGCTGTTTAGTTCTCAGATTTACTTCAAATAATCTGAACTTTTTGGCCGTTGTGTCATTTAATCCAACATCGACGTGAGTGTGAGGAAGGTAAACATCTGGGTTACAAAACCAGATGCAAACGTCTGGCGGAGGTTCTCCGTCACACGTGTTCCACCTGGCGGATAGCCTACCTGCGTCCTCCCAGCGTGGCGCTCTGAGTGAGCGGGAAGGAGAAGCCTGCAGCTAACCGTAGCATCACATGGAAACCCCTTCCCAGGTAGCGCACCTTCTCCTCCTGGACACTCACGTCACACAGCTGTGTGAGGTCCAACACCACTGAACCAGGAGGAAAACACGATTAGATCTGATGTTCTCCCACTCTAATGTCGCTGACCCCTCCGTGGTTCTGCTGACCTCGCTCTTCGCCCTTCCTCCAGAACGTCAGCACTAAAGTGTACAAGCTGGTGTTCTTGAGCTCGATCTGGTTTGTGGTTTTGTCGAACACAGCCTCCTCCCACTCCTCCATGTTCTGTACGGCCACAAACAGGCAGCCTGAGATGTAGAAGAGCCTCCACAGGAGGCTGTCTGTGGACACAGACCACAGGTTGTTGTAACCGAACAGGAAGCCAGAGTCTAAAGTGCAGATAGCTGGTTTACAAACCTGAGCTGTAGTACGCAGCAGCCAACCCAACAGATGCTATACCTGCGATGAGAGCCAGAGGCTTCTGAGTCTGGAGGTAATTCAGGATGAAGATGGTTCGTTAAACTGTTCATAACCTACCAATCAGAAGAGACCATGAGCGGATACCAGGAGCTCTCTTCAGGTGAAGCAGAGTGGAGGTGTGCTCTTCAACTGTCATGTATCCCATCTGAGTAAAACACAGGCATGAATACACATATGAACATGACTTTAAGGTGTATACAGCCTACTGCAATAACACAGGGTAAAGAGATCCTCTGTGCGTGGTCTCAGGATCCCTTTATCAGATCCTGCATTCATTTAACTCTGGATCATGTATCAGTGAGCAGACTCAGACACCTGCATCCATGAACCGCCCATGGTAATGAGACAGGCGTTATAAAAGGCATCCCTTCAGCCCACTTTGGTTTGCTTACCCTGATTTTAGGGGGCAGATTGAAGTTTCTGGCTAAAAACTAGATTTGTATGTCACTAATACAACCTTCAGATTTCATACAACACACATACACACACACACACAACCAGGGTTCTGTGGGAGTCCCACGCCTAAGCTACTGCTTCTCTTACCTTGAGCTTTTGTCTCTAGTCGTTCCTCTTGTACATTAGATTTAATGAAAGATCGCTAGGAGGAAACGCATGAAGGAAGTTCTGTTAATTTGTTGCAAAGGCAAACCACGCTTCCTTCCTGAACGCCTGAGCTCTGATTGGATGGCTTAACTTTCACGTTTCCTTCAAAATAAAAGCTTGTTCAAAGCGCTGCCGTAATTTGATAACTCATTGTTTCTAGCTGTTTTTTGTTGTGTGGCAAGGTGGATAAATGAGGGCCCGGGCGGGATTCGATCCCCAGACTCCCAGGTGAGAGTCATACGCTCTTACCAGTCAGCCAAAGGGACATCCCCTTGGCCAAGTAGCCAGGGCGCATGATCAATCGGGACATTGTGACAGGACACTCACACTGTCACAGTTGGATTGTAATTGATGGAAATCAGAGGTGTCCACAGTGGGGGGCTTACAGGGGATTTGTATTCCTGGAGTGATTTTACAATGGCCTCACCCCTCGTTTCAGCACAGTTGCAGGCAGAAAGGCCGCAGCTAGCAATGCACTGATATGACATTTTCGGACTGATACCGATGTCTGATATTGATATCACTGTTATTGCCAAAATAATATACTGACATTAATGCTTCTAAAATCAGAAGATTTTGTATAGAATGAAAACTATTAAAGCTGAATTTACGTTATTGTGCACACACATCACACTCATTTACGCTTCTGAAATGATTACAATCACTGTCACATGACTAAACAAATACAAATCACCCCCTGACCCTCTGACACAGATAAACAAATGGAAACAAGATGGACAAAATATTGGTTGTTAATATCGGCCCAGTTTTATTTATCGATACCGATATGTTAAAAAATACAGATATTGATGCCAATATATTGTGCATTCCTAGCTGCAGCTGGGTTTTGAACCTTCTTGCTGTGAGGAGACACTACTAACAACTGAGCCACCACTTCCATGGGTAGACAGATGAATGAGGAGAAGGTAGTGATGAAGAATCAACCAAAGTTCACACCAAAGTCAACCTGAACAGATGAGTTTTCAGTTGCTTTTAGGACACCACTGAGTCCACTATGCTCAACGGAGAGAGTTGCAGAGTCTGGGGGCCACAGCAGCAAATTATCTATCACCAGTTGACACAACCAGTAGACTTTGATCACTGGACCTCAGGGACCTGCTGGGAGTGTAGGGACTAAGAAGATCACCAATGTAAGATGGTGCCTGTCCATGTAAGACCCTATAGACCAGAACCAGGATCTTGAAATGAACCCTGGAGTTGACTGGCAGCCAGTGAAGCTGGAGGAGAAGCGGGGTGATGTGGGTGTGTTTGGAGGACTTGGTCAGAAGCTGAGCACAGGCGTTCTGACCCACCTGTAGACGGTTCAGGGAGGTTCTGCTCAGACACGTGAAAAGAGAGTTACAGTAGTCTAAGCGTGAGGAGATGAAGGTGTGGATAACTGTCTCAAGTTCAGAGAGGGACAGAATGGGACTCAGCTTAGCAATGTTCCTGAGATGGAAGAAGGAAGAGCGAACAAGATAACTGACATGAGAATCCAGGGTGAGAGCTGGGTCAAAGGTCACGCCAAGATTCCTGTCAGAAGGTTTGGTGTGGGAAGCAAGCTGACCAAGAGAGTCTCTGACTTTGGGAACCAGCTTGTCTGGGACACAGATGAGGATCTCAGTCGTATCTTCATTCAGCTGAAGAAAGCTCTCACCATCCAGGTTTTGATAGAGTCTAAGCAGGTGTGTAACAGCTGCAGCTTAGACATCTCATGGGGCTTAAAGGAGATGTACAGTTGGATGTCATCTGCATAAAGATGGTAGGAGGTTCCTCTAAAGGAGCTTACGATGTGAGCTACAGAGGAAGCAGATAGAGGAGGAAGAGTAGAGGCCTCAGCACAGAACCTTGTGGGACACCATGGGTAAGGGTGGTGGACGAGGACCGAAGCTTGGTGACATAATAACTGACACAGAGAGGGAACGCTCAGACAGATGAGAGGAGAACCACTCCAGAGCAGTCCCTAACAGGCCTACCCAGTCTGTCAGCTTATCTGGTAGCAGGTGATGGTCAACAGTGTTTTACTCAAAACAAAACATGTGAACATGGCTTCTGTCTGATCGGTCTTCTCAATCCCCAGTGAGTCGTGGAGGATGGCTGCTCACACTGAGCCAGGAGAATGATAAGTCCAGAACCTATTTTCTGTTACTGGCAATGTGATCATTTTTTTAAGACCAAGAAACTAGAAATTAATCCACCAGTCAGATCCAGGGCAATTTGGTGATTTTATTTTCTTTATTATCAGCATAAAAAGACAGTCTTTTTCTTCTGAAAAACAGATATTTTTCATTTTAATTAAAATATATTAAAGTGTAGGTTTATACGTTTCCCCCCCCCCCCCCCCCCCCCCCTAAATCTGTTATTTTGAAATGCTGAGGCCCAAGTTTCCGGTATGAAGTTTTTTCTTCTTCTGCGCATGCGTCTCGGAAGCACCGGGTGTAATGGCGCTAGAGCACGAATGGCCGGGTCAGAAGAAGCCCTGTGCCGTGATAAGTAGCGTCTGGTAGAATAACCGTTGGCGGTCCAAGTCGGTGACGCCGTTCAATAATAACCTGAGACTAAAAGCGTCAAAAAAGGGGAGAAATCACCTGCTGAGCGGCGCAGGTGCTTCCTTAAGCGGTGGCTCCTCTAGCTAGCTGTCCCCCGCGGGTTGACATGTCTTTGTCCTCAACAACAGAGAAGTAGCAACCGTCCGGTGAGTTACCTCCACGCTGAGCCGTCCCTGTCCACTCTACGTTTCACACCAACTCGTGGCTCCACATTTATGGCTGTCGTCGTTTAAAAAGTGAAACAAAAGCGGCCTAACCAGCTAATACCCTCTAACCAGACGAGGTGATTGCTGTTTTAGCTGCTTTAGCCTGCTTTTAGATAAGCTGTGGTAAATGTTGCCAGGCTTTCAGCCATGTTTGTCTGTATCCCCTTTCACGCTGTGTATGTAATTAGGTGTTTACATGTAATGACAGGAAGGATTGCAGCTAACGCTCATTTAGTCCGTTTCCCAGAGTCGGGAAGCTGCTGTGTTGATGATAAGCTGTTGTCTTTGATAGGACGGCAGGGACACCCACAAGGGTGGAGCTGATAAAACCGCAGCAGAAACACACACACACACACACTAGACACAAACCAACAGTGCTGTTCTCCATCTGCTGTGTTTCAGTCCAAAGAGAGCTGCTGAGGAAAATGTCAGAGGTCAAGATAGCCAAGCTGAAGGAGAAGTGCGAGAACTGCACCAAGCAGGTAGGAATGATGTTCCTGTGAGTCTGAAAGTGTTTTTCATTCTCCTGACTTTAATTTGTGCTTCTCCACCTGCAGTGCAACAAGAAACAGAGTGAGGATGGAGCTCACCCCATCCAGGAGAGCGATAAAGTCAACGGGCAGGTGGGGTCTGCTTTTGCGGCATTGCTGTTATTGATTGGTTTGGTCTGGACATGCTTGACCAAGAGGACATTCCGATGATTTTGTACTTCAGTTTGCTGATACTGAGTGATCAGGATGTTCTGATTCTGAACAAAGAAGGGAACTCTCTAAAGTCACCCTAGGTGTTTTCACAGCAGTCTCACAACTCCGGTGCAGACTCATCATGTGAGATCTCCTTTAGGTGACTGAAGGGTCCCAGCTGCTGCTGAGCGCCTGTCTATCCTGTGATGGCTGTCTGTCTGAGGAGGACACCCTGAGGATCTCTCAGCAGAATCTGGACGAGGTGGAGCGGGTTCTGGCCCTAAATAAGGTACAGGTGTCTTCAGAAACCTGAGAGAGCCTCTGTCGGGTTGCACAATGGCTGATGAGTCGTTTTTCTGTCTCTGTCAGAAGTGTGACACATCAAAACACAAGGTGCTTGTGGCGTCCGTGTGTCCACAGTCGCTGCCTTTCTTTGCTGTCAAGTTTGGTCTGGACCTTGCTGAAGCTGCACACAAGCTCTGCAGCTTCCTGAAGCACCTGGGTGAGCTGGCTGGAGGCTGTGGGTTTGGTCTCCAGGACTTTGTGGCTTTAACAAAAGAGAAACAAAGAACTTTTAATTGATTCTCCAGTTACATTTATTTCACGAGTAAAACTCTGAATGTGACTTTTACAAACACGTTGTTGTTTAATAAACAAGCTCCTGTCTCGTCCTGGTCGTCTGCAGGAGTTCAGTTTGTGTTTGACACCACGCTGGCAGCGGGCTTCAGCATCTTAGAGACTCAGAAAGAGTTCATTCAGAGGTATCGCAGGAGGCACCATGACTCCCACGCCGTGCCCATGTTCACCTCCTCGTGTCCAGGTAAAGCCCAGCGGTGGTTCATAAATCCCTCCTGATGCTCTCACTTGTCTCTGCTGTAGTTGTGTGCTGAACACGAGAACTGGTGGGGACAGACCAGGGGTCTTCTTTCATCACAGATGTGGTTTTAAATTTAAACAAGTCCAAGTCAACACCTGTTTGTTCTTCATAGAGCAGAGTTAGAAACGACTCTGTTGCTGTTAAAACCCGCTGCTGCAGGGAGGAAGAGTGGCCGTGGTTTCATATCGTTGTCAGGATTTGACTAAATAAGCTCTTACTGCTTGCCTGACTCTCTCTCTCTCTCTCTCTCTCTCTCTCTCTCACTCTCACTCTCACTCTCACTCTCACTCACTCTCTCACACACACACACACACACACACACACACACACACACACACACACACACACACACACACTCACACAGTGTGATTAAAGAGATCAGAAGGCTGCAACACCCAGAGACGAGGACACATCCAGTGTTGAAATGTTCGTTTTCCTTTGTTTTAATAAACCTCGACTCACCTAAGTGCTCCAGCCTTCCCATTTTTTATCTCGGTGTCCATCGGCTGTGCAGCACCAGTTTGTGAGTGGGTGATGCACAGAGGGCTCCATTTTTACACACTGTGTGACCTTTGGATCTTTTGTTCTAAAAGATTCTTGTGGTGGTGATTTAGGTCCGATGGTCAAATGAAACCTTCTGGGGGTGATGTGCTGTCTTACTGCTGCGTCGCTCTGTTACATGTCTCCGGCTGTCTCTCTCTCTGCAGCGTGTCTCCGGCTGTCTCTCTGCTGCGTGTCACTGGCTGTCTCTCTGCTGCGTGTCTCTGGCTGTGTCTCTCTGCTGCGTGTCTCTGGCTGTGTCTCTCTGCTGCGTGTCTCCAGCTGTCTCTCTGCTGCGTGTCTCTGGCTGTCTCTCTGCTGCGTGTCTCTGGCTGTGTCTCTCTGCTGCGTGTCTCCAGCTGTCTCTCTGCTGCGTGTCTCTGGCTGTCTCTCTGCTGCGTGTCTCTGGCTGTCTCTCTCTGCTGCGTGTCTCCGGCTGTCTTTCTGCAGCGTGTCTCTGGCTGTCTCTCTGCTGCGTGTCTCTGGCTGTCTCTCTGCTGCGTGTCTCTGGCTGTCTCTCTGCTGCGTGTCTCCGGCTGTCTCTCTGCAGCGTGTCTCTGGCTGTCTCTCTGCAGCGTGTCTCTGGGTGTCTCTCTGCTGCGTGTCTCTGGCTGTCTCTCTCTGCAGCGTGTCTCTGGCTGTCTCTCTGCTGCGTGTCTCTGGCTGTCTCTCTGCTGCGTGTTTCTGGCTGTCTCTCTGCTGCGTGTCTCTGGCTGTCTCTCTGCTGCGTGTCTCTGGCTGTCTCTCTGCTGCGTGTCTCCGGCTGTCTCTCTGCTGCGTGTCTCCGGCTGTCTCTCTGCTGCGTGTCTCTGGCTGTCTCTCTCTGCTGCGTGTCTCCGGCTGTCTCTCTGCTGCGTGTCTCTGGCTGTCTCTCTGCTGCGTGTCTCTGGCTGTGTCTCTCTGCTGCGTGTCTCCAGCTGTCTCTCTGCTGCGTGTCTCTGGCTGTCTCTCTGCTGCGTGTCTCTGGCTGTCTCTCTCTGCTGCGTGTCTCCGGCTGTCTTTCTGCAGCGTGTCTCTGGCTGTCTCTCTGCTACGTGTCTCTGGCTGTCTCTCTGCTGCGTGTCTCTGGCTGTCCCTCTGCTGCGTGTCTCCGGCTGTCTCTCTGCAGCGTGTCTCTGGCTGTCTCTCTGCAGCGTGTCTCTGGGTGTCTCTCTGCTGCGTGTCTCTGGCTGTCTCTCTCTGCAGCGTGTCTCTGGCTGTCTCTCTGCTGCGTGTCTCTGGCTGTCTCTCTGCTGCGTGTTTCTGGCTGTCTCTCTGCTGCGTGTCTCTGGCTGTCTCTCTGCTGCGTGTCTCTGGCTGTCTCTCTGCTGCGTGTCTCCGGCTGTCTCTCTGCTGTGTGTCTCCAGCTGTCTCTCTGCTGCGTGTCTCTGGCTGTCTCTCTGCTGCGTGTCTCTGGCTGTCTCTCTCTGCTGCGTGTCTCCGGCTGTCTCTCTGCTGCGTGTCTCCGGCTGCGTGTCTCTGGCTGTCTCTCTGCTGCGTGTCTCTGGCTGTCTCTCTGCTGCGTGTCTCTGGCTGTCTCTCTGCTGCATGTCTCTGGCTGTCTCTCTGCTGCGTGTCTCTGGCTGTCTCTCTGCTGCGTGTCTCCGGCTGTCTCTCTGCTGCGTGTCTCTGGCTGTCTCTCTGCTGCGTGTCTCTGGCTGTCTCTCCGCTGCGTGTCTCTGGCTGTCTCTCTCTGCTGAGTGTCTCCGGCTGTCTCTCTGCTGCGTGTCTCCGGCTGTCTCTCTGCTGCGTGTCTCCAGCTGTCTCTCTGCTGCGTGTCTCCAGCTGTCTCTCTCTGCTGCGTGTCTCCGGCTGTCTCTCTGCTGCATGTCTCCGGCTGTCTCTCTGCTGCGTGTCTCTGGCTGTCTCTCTCTGCTGCGTGTCTCCGGCTGTCTCTCTGCTGCGTGTCTCCGGCTGTCTCTCTGCTGCGTGTCTCCCGCTGTCTCTCTCTGCTGCGTGTCTCCGGCTGTCTCTCTGCTGCGTGTCTCCGGCTGTCTCTCTGCTGCGTGTCTCCGGCTGTCTCTCTCTGCTGCGTGTCTCCGGCTGTCTCTCTGCTGCGTGTCTCCCGCTGTCTCTCTCTGCTGCGTGTCTCCGGCTGTCTCTCTGCTGCGTGTCTCCGGCTGTCTCTCTGCTGCGTGTCTCCGGCTGTCTCTCTCTGCTGCGTGTCTCCGGCTGTCTCTCTCTGCTGCGTGTCTCCGGCTGTCTCTCTCTGCTGCGTGTCTCCGGCTGTCTCTCTGCTGCGTGTCTCCGGCTGTCTCTCTGCTGCGTGTCTCTGGCTGTCTCTCTGCTGCGTGTCTCCAGCTGTCTCTCTCTGCAGAGTCTCTCCAGCTGTCTGTCTCTCTGCAGCGTGTCTCCGGCTGTCTGTGTCTCTGCAGCGTGTCTCCAGCTGTCTCTCTGCAGCGTGTCTCCAGCTGTCTGTCTCTCTGCAGCGTGTCTCCAGCTGTCTGTCTCTCTGCAGCCTGTCTCCAGCTGTCTGTGTCTCTGCAGCGTGTCTCCGGCTGTCTGTGTCTCTGCAGCGTGTCTCCGGCTGTCTGTGTCTCTGCAGCGTGTCTCCGGCTGTCTGTGTCTCTGCAGCGTGTCTCTGGCTATCTCTCTCTCTGCTGCGTTTCTCTGGCTGTCTCTCTACTGCAGTGTGTCTCTGACTGTCTCTCTCTGCAGCGTGTCTCCAGCTGTCTCTCTCTGCAGCGTGTCTCCAGCTGTCTGTGTCTCTGCAGCGTGTCTCCGGCTGTCTCTCTGCTGCGTGTCTCTGGCTGTCTCTCTGCTGCGTGTCTCTGGCTGTCTCTCTGCTGCGTGTCTTCGGCTGTCTCTCTGCTGCGTGTCTCCGGCTGTCTCTCTGCTGCGTGTCTCCGGCTGTCTCTCTGCTGCGTGTCTCCGGCTGTCTCTCTCTGCTGCGTGTCTCCGGCTGTCTCTCTCTGCTGCGTGTCTCTGGCTGTCTCTCTGCTGCGTGTCTCCAGCTGTCTCTCTCTGCAGAGTCTCTCCAGCTGTCTGTCTCTCTGCAGCGTGTCTCCGGCTGTCTGTGTCTCTGCAGCGTGTCTCCAGCTGTCTCTCTGCAGCGTGTCTCCAGCTGTCTGTCTCTCTGCCGCGTGTCTCCAGCTGTCTGTCTCTCTGCAGCGTGTCTCCAGCTGTCTGTGTCTCTGCAGCGTGTCTCCGGCTGTCTGTGTCTCTGCAGCGTGTCTCTGGCTATCTCTCTCTGCTGCGTTTCTCTGGCTGTCTCTCTACTGCAGTGTGTCTCTGACTGTCTCTCTCTGCAGCGTGTCTCCAGCTGTCTCTCTGCTGCATGTCTCCAGCTTTCTCTCTCTGCAGCGTGTCTCCGGCTGTCTGTCTCTCTGCAGCGTGTCTCCGGCTGTCTGTGTCTCTGCAGCGTGTCTCTGGCTGTCTCTCTCTCTGCTGCCTGTCTCCGGCTGTCTCTCTGCTGCGTTTCTCTGGCTGTCTCTCTGCTGCAGCGTGTCTCTGGCTCTCTCTCTCTGCAGCGTGTCTCCAGCTGTCTGTCTCTCTGCAGCGTGTCTCCGGCTGTCTGTGTCTCTGCAGCGTGTCTCTGGCTGTCTCTCTGCTGCCTGTCTCCAGCTGTCTCTCTGCTGCGTGTCTCCAGCTGTCTGTCTGTCTGCAGCGTGTCTGCGGCTGTCTGTGTCTCTGCTGCGTTTCTCTGGCTGTCTCTCTGCTGCGTGTCTCCAGCTGTCTGTCTCTCTGCAGCGTGTCTCCAGCTGTCTGTCTCTCTGCAGCGTGTCTCCGGCTGTCTGTCTCTCTGCAGCGTGTCTCTGGCTGTCTGTCTCTCTGCAGCGTGTCTCCAGCTGTCTGTCTCTCTGCTGCCTGTCTCCAGCTGTCTCTCTGCGGCTGTCTCCAGCTGTCTGTCTCTCTGCAGCGTGTCTCCGGCTGTCTCTCTCTCTGCAGCGTGTCTCCGGCTGTCCGTCTCTCTGCAGCGTGTCTCCGGCTGTCCCTCTCTCTGCAGCGTGTCTCTGGCTGTCTGTCTCTCTGCAGCGTGTCTCCAGCTGTCTGTCTCTCTGCTGCCTGTCTCCAGCTGTCTCTCTCTGCGGCTGTCTCCAGCTGTCTGTCTCTCTGCAGCGTGTCTCCGGCTGTCTCTCTCTCTGCAGCGTGTCTCCGGCTGTCCCTCTCTCTGCAGCGTGTCTCCGGCTGTCTGTCTCTCTGCAGCGTGTCTCCAGCTTCTGTCTCTCTGCAGCGTGTCTCCAGCTGTCTGTCTCTCTGCTGCCTGTCTCCAGCTGTCTCTCTCTCTGCGGCTGTCTCCAGCTGTCTCTCTCTCTGCGGCTGTCTCCAACTGTCTGTCTCTCTGCAGCGTGTCTCCAACTGTCCCTCTCTCTGCAGCGTGTCTCCGGCTGTCCGTCTCTCTGCAGCGTGTCTCCGGCTGTCCCTCTCTCTGCAGCGTGTCTCTGGCTGTCTCTCTGCAGCGTGTCTCCAGCTGTCTGTCTCTCTGCTGTCTGTCTCCAGCTGTCTCTCTCTCTGCAGCGTGTTTCCGGCTGTCCCTCTCTCTGCAGCGTGTCTCCGGCTGTCCCTCTCTCTGCAGCGTGTCTCCGGCTGTCCGTCTCTCTGCAGCGTGTCTCCGGCTGTCTCTCTCTCTGCAGCGTGTCTCCGGCTGTCCCTCTCTCTGCAGCGTGTCTCCGGCTGTCCGTCTCTCTGCAGCGTGTCTACAGCTGTCTGTCCCTCTGCAGCGTGTCTCCGGCTGTCTCTCTGCTGCGTGTCTCCGGCTGTCTCTCTCTGCTGCGTGTCTCCGGCTGTCTCTCTCTGCTGCGTGTCTCCGGCTGTCTCTCTGCTGCGTGTCTCCGGCTGTCTCTCTGCTGCGTGTCTCCGGCTGTCTCTCTGCTGCGTGTCTCCGGCTGTCTCTCTGCTGCGTGTCTCCGGCTGTCTCTCTCTGCTGCGTGTCTCCGGCTGTCTCTCTCTGCTGCGTGTCTCCGGCTGTCTCTCTCTGCTGCGTGTCTCCGGCTGTCTCTCTCTGCTGCGTGTCTCCGGCTGTCTCTCTCTGCTGCGTGTCTCCGGCTGTCTCTCTGCTGCGTGTCTCCGGCTGTCTCTCTGCTGCGTGTCTCTGGCTGTCTCTCTGCTGCGTGTCTCCAGCTGTCTCTCTCTGCAGAGTCTCTCCAGCTGTCTGTCTCTCTGCAGCGTGTCTCCGGCTGTCTGTGTCTCTGCAGCGTGTCTCCAGCTGTCTCTCTGCAGCGTGTCTCCAGCTGTCTGTCTCTCTGCCGCGTGTCTCCAGCTGTCTGTCTCTCTGCAGCGTGTCTCCAGCTGTCTGTGTCTCTGCAGCGTGTCTCCGGCTGTCTGTGTCTCTGCAGCGTGTCTCTGGCTATCTCTCTCTCTGCTGCGTTTCTCTGGCTGTCTCTCTACTGCAGTGTGTCTCTGACTGTCTCTCTCTGCAGCGTGTCTCCAGCTGTCTCTCTCTGCAGCGTGTCTCCAGCTGTCTGTGTCTCTGCAGCGTGTCTCCAGCTGTCTCTCTGCTGCATGTCTCCAGCTGTCTCTCTCTGCAGCGTGTCTCAGGCTGTCTGTCTCTCTGCAGCGTGTCTCCGGCTGTCTGTGTCTCTGCAGCGTGTCTCTGGCTGTCTCTCTCTCTGCTGCCTGTCTCCGGCTGTCTCTCTGCTGCGTTTCTCTGGCTGTCTCTCTGCTGCAGCGTGTCTCTGGCTCTCTCTCTCTGCAGCGTGTCTCCAGCTGTCTGTCTCTCTGCAGCGTGTCTCCGGCTGTCTGTGTCTCTGCAGCGTGTCTCTGGCTGTCTCTCTGCTGCCTGTCTCCAGCTGTCTCTCTGCTGCGTGTCTCCAGCTGTCTGTCTGTCTGCAGCGTGTCTGCGGCTGTCTGTGTCTCTGCTGCGTTTCTCTGGCTGTCTCTCTGCTGCGTGTCTCCAGCTGTCTGTCTCTCTGCAGCGTGTCTCCAGCTGTCTGTCTCTCTGCAGCGTGTCTCCGGCTGTCTGTCTCTCTGCAGCGTGTCTCTGGCTGTCTGTCTCTCTGCAGCGTGTCTCCAGCTGTCTGTCTCTCTGCTGCCTGTCTCCAGCTGTCTCTCTGCGTCTGTCTCCAGCTGTCTGTCTCTCTGCAGCGTGTCTCCGGCTGTCTCTCTCTCTGCAGCGTGTCTCCGGCTGTCCGTCTCTCTGCAGCGTGTCTCCGGCTGTCTCTCTCTCTGCAGCGTGTCTCCGGCTGTCCCTCTCTCTGCAGCGTGTCTCCGGCTGTCCCTCTCTCTGCAGCGTGTCTCCAGCTGTCTCTCTCTGCAGCGTGTCTCCAGCTTCTGTCTCTCTGCAGCGTGTCTCCAGCTGTCTGTCTCTCTGCTGCCTGTCTCCAGCTGTCTCTCTCTCTGCGGCTGTCTCCAGCTGTCTCTCTCTCTGCGGCTGTCTCCAACTGTCTGTCTCTCTGCAGCGTGTCTCCAACTGTCCCTCTCTCTGCAGCGTGTCTCCGGCTGTCCGTCTCTCTGCAGCGTGTCTCCGGCTGTCCCTCTCTCTGCAGCGTGTCTCCAGCTGTCCCTCTCTCTGCAGCGTGTCTCTGGCTGTCTCTCTGCTGCGTGTCTCCAGCTGTCTGTCTCTCTGCAGCCTGTCTCCAGCTGTCTCTCTCTGCAGCGTGTTTCCGGCTGTCCCCCTCTCTGCAGCGTGTCTCCGGCTGTCCCTCTCTCTGCAGCGTGTCTCCGGCTGTCCGTCTCTCTGCAGCGTGTCTCCGGCTGTCCGTCTCTCTGCAGCGTGTCTCCGGCTGTCTCTCTCTCTGCAGCGTGTCTCCGGCTGTCCCTCTCTCTGCAGCGTGTCTCCAGCTGTCCGTCTCTCTGCAGCGTGTCTACAGCTGTCTGTCCCTCTGCAGCGTGTCTCTGGCTGTCTCTCTGTTTTAAGACCACTAACTCTGGTGCTAGCTTGCCTTTTGGACCCAGGTCTCTGTTGGACGTGATTCTGCAGCAGGAGAACCCGCAGAATCCTGCATGTGGTAATCTGACAGCAGACATGTGGACGTGTGTCTCATACAGCAGGACAGGAGGGGACATGTGCTGATGTTTGCGACTAAGCTAATTTCTTCCAGAAACGAGTCGTCTCTGGTTTCAGTGAAGACGTTTGTCTTGTGTCTCCTGTAGGCTGGATCCGATATGCAGAACGCATCCTGGGTAGTTTGGTCACGCCTCAGATCTGCACCGCCAGGTCCCCCCAGCAGATCATGGGCTGTCTGGTCAAAGACTTCTTCTGTAAGCAGCAGGTGAGCGGGACTGTGAGGAGAACAGGTTGGCTAAGAGCAGCGGTGATTTAAATGCCAGTTGGTTTCTCTGCTGCATCACACGTGTTGTTGTTTGTCTACCTGGGAAAGGAGAAGCAGAAGCCATTAAGTTTTGACCCAGGTGCAACGGGGTCGTCTTTAATAACGTCACTCTCGTCTCTACGGTCCGCGTGTCTGATGCTGGGTGTTTGGCTCGATTTCAAACAAAGCAAAGGGTTAAACGTTAGCTGAGGGTCGGGGCCGTGTGCAGCTGTTTGAGGAGAAACCTTTGACCTCTGAGGGCATCTCCTCTCATTTCTATACATAACTGGCCTCTTCTCCCATGTGAGTATGACCTGCTTTAACCAGGTCAGGCCCAGGAACACCGTAGCGTCCCACTGGAGGGGTTGGACGAGGAGGATCCGGGTTCCCCTGCTGGGACTGCTGCCCCCCACCCGATCCAGACAGATTAACGGAGGTCAAGGACAGGGTGTGAGACATCAAAGAGCACCTGTCTGTTGGGTCAGGACTGGATTTGAGAGGGTGGATAGAAGAAGATACCTTATTTATGGTAAAATACAGATAAAAATCCCAAAGTGCTTCACAAAAGCTTTAGATGGAGATGATGTCAGCTTTCTGTGTGACGTTGGGTCGCGTAGCTGCTGCACACGGCAGGCTGAGTCTCTCAGAACAGATCTAGCTGAGTCACGACACAGCGGTGCTGGGTTCCAGTTTGTCTGGCAGCTGTACTGTAAAAGCAGTCTGTCGTCTCCGAAGCACCTGGACCGCGGCATCACAGTGTTCCTTCGACACCTTCTGGCCAGGCTCACGCTGCTCTCTCCCAACAGAAGCTGAGTCCAGACGGAGTTTATCACCTGGTGGTGGCGCCCTGCTTCGATAAGAAACTGGAGGCTGTCAGAGAGGAGTTTTACAACACGCTGATGGAGACCAGAGACGTGGACTGTGTCCTCACCTCCAGTAAGAACGTCATACTCACAGCAGCAGGGTCGGGGTTGGCCCCGCCTCCCTAAGGTGGGAGGAGACTGCAGCTGGTTAGATCACTCGGTCTCTATTTGAGAAAGCGTATTCTAGAGTCCTAGAACCCCTCAAGGAGCTTTATAACAGTCATTCTCACACACACACACACACACACTGATGGTGATGAGCTACATTGTAGCTACAGCTTGCGTTCTTTGAGTCTCATTAGAGAAAGCTGATCATCTAGCACAGCTTTAATTATTGTAGAGGTCGTTAGCTCAGCCACACTCATCCAGACGAGTGTTAGCCATGAAACACACCTCGCTTCACCCTCAGGTTGTTCTTTAACTCGTATTAAATCCAGCGTGTCGACGCAAACTTCCTCTGTTCAGGGATTGTTGCAAGGTGCAAACTTCACATCACTCTCTCATGGAGTAAAGGTTCGGCAGCTGCACGTCTGCAGTGCGTAGGGAAAGGGGAGGGAAGCGCGACGCTGCACACCTTTGCAGGCTGCAGCATATGAGCGACAGGTGATCGGCTCTGTTTATGTCAGACATCAGCTGATCGCTAAAGCCTCCACACATTTTCCACATTTGATCATCAATGCTAACTCTTCTGGTGGGTTCTTCTTCGTTGGTGTTGGCTACTTCTTCCGGCGGCCACTGGGCATTGACACTAGGGATCGGAATTAAAAAGATTAAAAGATTCCAGGAAAAACGTACACGTAGTCCCGGTTCCGATCCCTGCCCAACCCTACTCCTCTTCCTCACCCGTGCTTCTGCAACAAGGCCTCTGAGTTAGTCCATCAGGCCTCTGCTGTTTGACGAGAGGACCGGAGCGTCTCTGGTGTCCAGCTTAGGCTGAGCCGGTTAATATTTAACTCTGTAGGCGTAAACATTTGCAGATGCGTTACAGTCTCTTGTTGCTGTTTAAACTATTTATCGTCCCACATGCAGCGTCTGGTGGAGACTAGCGCTGCACGATATACGGTAAATGTTTCGTTATCGCGATCTCAGCATGCACAATATGCATATCTGAAAGAACAGATAAATATGGTAATGAACGCTCAGCTCAAGTGTTTGCTACACATGATGCATTCTGTCAGTCAAACGGAGGCGTGATGTTTTTAACTAATCGAATGGAGCTCTTCACCCATTTGGCCGATTGGGCGGATTCTCATAGGTCAGATGCTCGCCCCCAATTTTGATGGTTAGCAACCACCTGAGTTAGCTTTGTTCTGCTTTTCCCGGGATCCACTGATTGCCTTTTCTTGTTCAGTTTCTTTCCCCTTTCCTCACACCTTTTGCTTTTCTCATTTTAAGGATTTTTGTATTTCTTTGTTTTTGATTATTTTTGTTCCCGAGTTAAACATTTTTTTATCGCAAGTAATATCGTCATCGACAATATTAATCACTGTTATGGAATATCGCAGGTTTTCCTAATGTCGTGCAGCCCTAGTGGAGACGGAATATTCTGCCTGGAATAAAACCTGGTTTGTTATTTTCTAGTTTTGCTCCACAGCCTCGGAGTCTGGAGCACTAAATCTACTTCCTGTTTCAGGGGAGATCTACCACCTGATGGAGCAGAGGAAGGTGTCTGTGGAGGAGCTGGACTCGGTTCCACTGGACCAAGTGTGAGTTTGCATATTCGTGGGAGCCTTTGATGTTTTCCAGTTGAGAGAAAGTTTTTCTCCTCCTAAAATCAGAATGCAACTTTCATCATTTAGGTTTTATTCTGCTGATAAAACAACTTTTACCTGAAAACTGGGAACTAAAAAATTCGTCTGGACGACCTCTATACTCTCATAGTTTATGTAAACAAACAGATTTACTGTAGCTGTTGTTTGATTGCAGGCTGGGAGACGGTGGAGACGTGGCGCTGGTGCGGCACGACGGTCGCGGCTCCGAGGGCCTCCTGGAACACGTCTTCAAACACGCTGCCAAAGAGCTCTTTGGTCTGGAGGTGCAGGAAGTCACGTACAAAACCCTCAGGTTAGAGACCGGGCATCAGAGGCACGAAGAGAAACCAACTTATTTAGAGAATTTTCCACAGCAGCTTTGACTAAATTTCTCTAAAATAACAGCTCATCAGTTCAATACAAGTCATTTAATCAATTTTACAAATGTCACCATGGTAACCCCCCCCCCCCCCCCAACACACACACACACACAGTCTCCTTCATCTTTGTAAAATCCCAGATGTTAGGTCGAATATTAACATTTTTACGGTAAATCCCACTTTTAACGTGTAATTCCACGAGTCTGGGTCGCACGTCCGAGGCCCCACCAGTGAAGTCCAGGGCGTCGTGTCATCTGATCTCTGAACCTGGATTGTAAATATTGACTTTTCTTGTGCTGCTGGCGGGTTTTCCAGGAATCGGGACTTCCAGGAAGTGACCCTGGAGCGAGACGGGGAAACGCTGCTGCAGTTTGCCGCCATTTATGGTTTCCGGAACATTCAGACGTTAGTGCACCGCATGAGAAAGGGACGCGTCCCGTACCAGCTGGTGGAGGTGCTGTCCTGTCCCGGAGGTAGGCTCGAGTGACATCACAGCTCTGAGTCTAAAACGTGTTTCCGATGTTTCGTGAGAATCGTATCCGTGTTGATTCTTCTCGTGTCCCCCCCAGGCTGTCTGAGTGGCCGAGGTCAGGCGGAGAGCGAGGTAGAAGGTCGGGTGGACAAGGCTCTGGTCCAGCAGATGGAGGAGGTCTACAGCAGCCTGCCGGTTCGACTGCCAGAGCTAAACCCTGTCCTGAAAACTCTGTATGAGGACTGGCTGCAGGGCCAGGACTCGCCTCAGGCCGGAAAGCTGCTGCACACGGAGTACCGGAGCCCGGGTCAGGCCCACACGCAGCCCCCCCACATGCAGTGGTGAGACACGCCAACAGCCAAGTGCTTCTGGACCAACTGTGGACCGTGCAGCTCCAGACTCGTGAGCTACTGCTCAGTCGGCCACACGGGGGCGCTGTTTTGTTTTCAGCAACAGGAGACTTCCGTGTGTTGAACCCAAACCTGAAGAGACAAAAGGGTCCAGAGTCCACCAGAACACACATTTCTGCTTCTGCTGACTGGAGCTGGACTGTTCCTCATTTGAGATAAAGGATCACAAATAAAGTTTCACCATGTCCCAGCGGTTCTGGGAACATCTGTAGCAGGTTTACAGAGCAGTAACCCTGGACCGGAGTGAGGAGGTTAAACGGGCCTGAACCCGTCCAACAGACGACTTCCTGTCTAACTCAGTGCTCACTATGCAACAGCACCCCTCCCCCTACAGGATGTTACTGCCATGTACTCGCCTCTCTTCTAGCCCCATGAACCGGTTTTTATTAAGTTATGTTGTTAATTTTACAGAATCAGGATAAGCTGTGGTGTAAACCTACTAAAACGTCCTGTCAGCCACCTGCTTGGTGTCTTCAGCGTTGATCATTAACAGACCTTGCATGGCTCAGCGATAAGGCGCTCCACCAGAGGGTCGACAAGCAGCTTTAATTTACAGAGTAAAGGGGACCGGTCAGGTTCAAGGGCCATGTTTGTAGAAGAAGAAGAAGAAAAGGTCTTTTCTGTAGCGCCTCTCAAGATAAAAATCACAGCTTCTCTTGATTTAACCCGTGTTTAGCTTTGATGGTGACCACAGCAGGAGGGTGTTAGAAAACCAGTAGAACCAGCTCCTGTCTGGCTTTCAGGACACAGAGTTTTTGAATAATCACACGTTACTTCTGGGTTCATGCAAACATCTGGAGCGGCGTGCACATGCCGAATGTTTTAGCTGCATTCGTCTTTTCAGGACAAATCTGCAGAATCGTGTTTACAACACAGATGTCCTCCTCTCGCCCACACAAAACTAAAACACATGTTAATCTAGGTATAACGTTGAGATTATTTAAAACAGTCATGGTGTCTCCAGCTGCTGCCCTTTGCTGCTTTGTGCCCCGTAACCACCACAGCTACTGGCTCCACAGGTGCAGAAACGCACCACGTCAGAGGGAACGCGGGGGTTGGGGAGACTGGAGCCAAGCCGAGACTCCCCTCGTCTGCATTAACTGTATGGTGCAGATGGAGCTGATGGAGCTTTTCTGGTGGTCAAACAACAAAAAGGGTTGCGGTTCGGTCTGCGTGCTCTTAAATGTCTCCGCCAGGTTTTAGACCGCCTGGAGGTGCAGCCGGCAGCGCTGACATGAACAGAAAGCGTAGGAGCGGATGTAAACAGCCCAGAGGCCCCAGAGTCCAGCTGGAGGAGCCAACTGCATCACCGTCCGAGAACAGAACCTGTTTCTTTCAGCGCTCAGGAAAGCCGTGAAAATGCTGATTTAAAGGATAATTACGGACTTTCCTCAGCTCCTGCTCAGGGTTGGGTGTACGGCTCGACGGAGACCAACTCTGTTTGTTTTTGTCACGTTTTAAACTCCTTTACAAGATGAGCTGATGGAAGTGCTAGCAGGTACCTGGAAATCAAAGTGAAGGTATGAAGTTCGCCGTGTAGCTGATGCCCAGTGCCATGGCAACAGGGAAGTGATTCAGATTTTACTCCTGATGGGATATTTTCCTCATTCATACCTCGACGCTCACCTGAGTAAACCAGTCTTGTCATCCTGTTGACAGTAATCAGAACTTTATTCACATCTCAGAGATTGCTAGTGGTGATAATTTATCCATGTGTCTCCCGCCTGAGCACCCCTGGGCACCAGCTCCCCGTGACCCTGCAAGAGACTTGATGGTTTAAAAAAAGGAATAAACAACACGGTCATGTCAATATTTTCATCAGAGTTGACTATTTCATTGCAATAAACTCAAAACAGGCCATCGGTAACGTGGGACTTGCTCTTTTAATAGTTAAACTCGGACAACACGTCCAGGTCATGATGTGTGTTAAACCTGTCCTATGTTACAGTAACCATAGCAACCCCTCATGTAGGGTCACTACAACCAGCACTGCATCCTTAGGGTCACCATGGTAACCACCAGGTTGGGGTAACTGCTATTGGATCAGCCACAACCTGTTCTAGGCCCTTGGAGCAGACTGCTGGTCTACAGATGGGTCTGCAGCTGCTGTGGAGATGGGTTTTTAACAAGCGAGGACCCGACCAGAGAACCGTCAAAGGCACGGTCTGACTTATTTCTGGAATAGTTTTGTCAGATTATTGAAATGCTCTTCGCATATGGACGGTAACCAGTAAATGGAATGTTTGTTTATTGAAAGAAGATTTTGAATAGCCTCAGAAACACAATTCTGGAGACACCTCATCCAATCCAGTGCTGGCCAAATACCTATATGGTTGGGTCATCATCCATCCGTCAAACTGCTCCGCTGCACAGACCACCCTCCGTGTGCAGACCCGCTCGTTGTCTGAGCAGAGTGAAACCGGCTGAGCTGCATAGCGCCACAGACGGAACATCCTGCAGTGTGAGATCTCAGTTAAGGAGATGCTTCACATGTTCTGGTTGGAGCCCGGATCTGTTCTGGTGGGGAAACGTTTAGGTGACTGAGTTACTCTCTGGAATAATAACGTGAAAATGAGTGTGCACATGCACGAAGCAAGTGGGAGGAGGTTTGTGTCTGGAGGTTTGGACCGTAGAAGCTCAGCAGAGCTGCTTGTCTGCTCCTGTGTGTGTCACAAGTGGTGGTGTGTTATTTTCTGCAACCATCAAATTCTGTGACGGGGGGGTATAGAAGGTGAATGGGATGGCAGAGGGAGCCCAAGTCACGCCCATCTACCATCCATGGGTTAAAGAAGTGGGTCCACGAGGGGATGAACGCCATTTTCTGATCCGGTTTGATAAACCTGCCCATCACCAAATGGACGTCATCGAACCAGACATGAAGATAACTGGCTGAGTTTAGCGAACTGAATCCTTTCAGACTGAAACCAGAAGAAAACCACGATGTAACCATTACTGCGGGTCACACCCAGACATGGCAGCGCTACACTGGCTTTATTTATTTTATGCTTGTGCCGTGCTGCGTCCTGCAGCCAGCGTCCCTCTAGAACTCCTTCGGGGGCTGATCCCTGCTCACGTGTCCTCGTCTCGCTGCAGCCTCTGTTTCCGGTGTGGTCACTGACTCCTCCTCCCCCCCGCAGCCGTGCTCCCCCCACCACCCGACTCAGGCCGAGGCCACCACAGATTGCTGCAAAATGAGTCTGATGTCCAGGGGTCTTATTTATCAAACATGGCGTAGAATCCTTACTAAAACCGTACTTAAGGTCATAAAAAAAATGTACTTATGCCAAGCAGGTTTGTGATCTATCAAACATGGAGGACGCACAGCTGCACACAATCTCCGCTTCATAAATCAGAGACTAACGAGAATGTTTCTCAGCTGCATTTTAGTCACATCCCGCCCTCACCACGCCCACTTACTGCCATAAATAGTCAATGCAAAGTGCCTTGTGGATCTCATGCGTATACATAAACCGGCTGTTGCAACGCTCCGCCAATGACATGGCGACCGTAGATCAAGGCAGATCAAGGAAGCGTTATTTCACACAAGCAGAAATTGAGGTACCTGTGGGTGAGGTGGAGAAATGAAAGGAAGTGCTTTTGCAAAACAAATAAGAAAATCCACGGAGTGGCACAGCGTTGCTGAAGCCGTCAATGCTGAATTCTTCAGAGAGATCTGTGGCGGATATAAAAAAAAATGTTCCAATCAGGATTCGATCCCCAGACTCCCGGGTGAAAGTCACACCCACTAACCAGTCAGCCAAACAGAGATCTCCCCTGTACAAGTAGCCAGGGCGCATGATCAATCGGGTCACAGTGACAGGACACACACTGTCACAGACGCATGATGTTCTGTCTCAATCTGTCCCCCTGCTGATATTCTGCGCTCCAGGCTGTGTGTGTGTGTGTGTGTGGGGGGGGGGGGGGGGGGGGGGGGTCTTGTTCTGTGAGAAAACGAAGCGGTACAAGTGATAATGCTGCAGGATTTCATAATTGTACAGGTGCTGGCCAGTAAATTAGAATATCATCAAAAGGTTGAAAATATTTCAGTAATTCCATTCAAAACGTGAAACTTGTACATTATATTCATGCAATGCACACAGACCAATGTATTTCCAATGTTCATTACATTTAAATTTGATATTTATAGGTGACAACCAATGAAAACATCAAATCTGGTATCTCAGAAAATTAGAATATTCTAAAGGCCAATGAAAAAATGTTTGTTTCTCTAATGTTGGCCAACTGAAAAGAATGAACATGAAAAGAATGTGCATGTATAGCACTCAATACTTAGTCGGGGCTCCTTTTGCCTCAATAACTGCAGTAATGCGGCGTGGCATGGACTCGATCAGTCTGTGGCACTGCTCAGGTGTTATGAGAGCCCAGGTTGCTCTGATAGTCGTCTTCAGCTCCTCTGCATTGTTGGGTCTAGCGTATTGCATCCTCCGCTTCACAATACCCCATAGATTTTCTATGGGGTTAAGGTCAGGCGAGTTTGCTGGCCAATCAAGGACAGGGATACCATGGTCCTTGAACCAGGTGCTGGTGGTTTTGGCACTGTGTGCAGGTGCCAAGTCCTGTTGAAAGGTGAAGTCTGCATCCCCATAAAGTTGGTCAGCAGCAGGAAGCATGAAGTGCTCTAAAACTTCCTGGTAGACGGCTGCATTGACCCTGGACCTCAGGAAACAGAGTGGGCCAACACCGGCAGATGACATGGCACCCCACACCATCACTGACGGTGGAAACTTTACACTGGACCTCATGCAACGTGGATTCTGTGCTTCTCCGCTCTTCCTCCAGACTCTGGGTCCTTGATTTCCAAAGGAAATGCAGAACTTGCTTTCATCAGAAAACATAACTTTGGACCACTCAGCATCAGTCCAGTCCTTTTTGTCCTTGGCCCAGGCGAGACGCTTCTTGCGCTGTTTCTTGTTCAAGAGTGGCTTGACACACGGAATGCGACACCTGAATCCCATGTCTTTCATGAGTCTCCTCGTGGTGGTTCTTGAAGCGCTGACTCCAGCTGCAGTCCACTCTTTGTGGATCTCCCCCACATTTTTGAATGGGTTTGTCGTCACAATTCTCTGCAGGGTGCGGTTATCCCTAGAGCTTGTACACTTTTTTCTACCACATTTTTTCCGTCCCTTCGCCTGTCTGTTAATGTGCTTGGACACAGAGCTCTGCGAACAGCCAGCTTCTTTAGCAATCACCTTTTGTGTCTTGCCCTCCTTGTGCAAGGTGTCAATGATTGTCTTTTGGACAGCTGTTAAGTCAGAAGTCTTCCCCATGATTGTGGTGCCTTCAAAACAAGACTGAGGGACCTTTTAAAGGCCTTTGCAGGTGTTTTGAGTAAATCAGCTGATTAGAGTGGCAGCAGGTGTCTTCTATATTCAGCCTTTTCAGAATATTCTAATTTTTTGAGATACCAAATTTGGAGTTTTCATTAGTTGTCACTTATGAATATCAAATTTAAATGTAATGAACATTGGAAATACATTGGTCTGTGTGCATTGCATGAATATAATGTACAAGTTTCACGTTTTGAATGGAATTACTGAAATATTTTCAACCTTTTGATGATATTCTAATTTACTGGCCAGCACCTGTATCTTCTCAGCAGCAGCACTGCAGGTGCTCTCCATGTCCAACATGTGTGTAAGCCAGGTCCTTAGTCAACTTAAAGTTGCGCACATTTTTCCACTAAGTTTTCTTTCATGAATCCCAAAGTTTGCGTGGAAAGGTGCTTACGCAGTTTTCCGACCCTGTTTTGTGCGTAAGCAAGCTCGATAAATGAGGCCCCTGGCCTGTATAAACGATGTCACCCCGTCTACTTTACAAGAGCATCTTCATCTGCAGCTGCACTACAGACTTGAACATGTTTGCTGAAAGATTTGTACAATAATCAGATTTTTATTTTACTTCTGCCAAAATCTCATTTTAGATTAGGTATTATAGAACACGGGGACGGCTTGACTTCAGCTTTAAAAGTTGTCCCTCGTTAATTAGTAGTGATGCACCGATATGATTTTTGGGCTGAAATCCAATATTAAGATCACTATTATGGCTGGTAACCGTTATTTGCTGATACCGACATACTTACATTAATGCTTCTAAAATCAGCAGATTTTGTATAGAATGACAATTATTATGGCTGAATTTATGTTATTATGTACACACAACACACACATTTACTCTTCTGCGATGATTTCATTCACTGTTCACATGACTTAACAATTACACATCAACCCCCACCCTCTGAAACAGGCAAACAAATGGAGACGAGATGGAAAAAATATCGGTTGTTAATATCGGCCCCGTTTTATTTATAGAACCGTTAAGATATGTTAAAAAGTGACTAACATCGGCCGATACCGATTTTGATGCCGATACATTGTCCATCCCTATTATGCCGCCGCTGGCGAGCACATTTCAGGTGTGTTGTGAGCTGCGAGTGACGTGTTGGAGACCTCTGATCTTAACTGTCTACCTGTTTACACAGCTCACACATTTTTGTTGCTATGTGTTAAACAAAATTTAATTTAACTTCCTACTCTGCACATGGAGAATGATATAATAAAGGTTTTACCAACCAGGCTCAAACTCTGAGCTCTCCTGCAGCCTCTGTGCTGAGACCTGAGGTGAGTTGGGTTGGTAGTCTAGATCAGAGATGGGAATCCACCCAAAAGACGTGGCTGGTGTTGAAACGAAACCCTTTCCTGATGGGAGTTCAAACGATCCTCAGACAGTTCTTTGGAGTTTGTTTTGTCTCTTTGGTAGAGATCCAAACGTCTGTAACTGAAGTTCTGGACCAGCCATCAGGCTGATTCTGACAAACACATTTTGATTTTCTTACACCTATCATCACTCGCTCATATTCTGAACACTTGATCTTCAGCAGGGTCATGGGGAGCTGGAGTCTAACCAGCTGTCACTGGGTGGGAGATGGGGCCACCCTGGACATGTCTCCAGTCCAGGACAGGGACACACACCTGGGGAAACGTCTCCAATTAACCTGGCACATATGGTCTCCATGGAGAACACCTATGCTGGATCCTGCTAACTCCACTCAGAAACGTCACAGCTGGGATTCGAACCTGCAGCTTTCTCTCTACAAGGCAACAGAGATAAGAACTGTCACCATGCAGTCCGTCAGCGACAGGAAAAGTCAGGAAGTAAGTCCGATTCTTGACCGGTACAAGAAGGAGGGACCACATCACGCCAGTGCTGGATTCCCTGCACTGGCTCCCGGTGTTTTATCGGGCCAGATTAAAGATTTTGCTCCATGTTTTCATGGTTCTGCAGGCCAGCTCTTCCCTATATCTGGCTGAACTGCTGCAGCGGCATGTCCCTGATCGTGCTCTTCGCTCTTCTGAGGAGCTGCTCGAAACTGAGATCAAGGGGGCACAGGGCCTTCTCAGTGGAACGAGCTCCCCCTGACAGTAAAGCAAGCGCCTTTTCTTCAGGATTTTAAATCACGCCTAAAACTCACTTTTATTGGCTAGCTTTCCCCCAACATTGACACTGTTTTTACATTTTTATCATATCGCACAGTTTTATATTGCTTTTCTTTGTCTATTTTTCTTTTTACTGATTTTCATTCAATGTGTTGTTTTTAATACTAATCTGGTTTTAATGTCCGGTTCAGCAACCTTGGGCCTCCGCTAAGGTGGTAGAAGGTGCTTTATAAATAAATGAATGAATGAATAAATGAGGATGAAACCAGATGATTTTGGGAAAGCACCCCAGGGCAAGCATCAGAGGGTTTGTTACTCACCTGCTGTCACCCCCTTAGACTGACAGCTAGAATTCTTGTCTTTAGTCGTTTGTGCACTGTAAAAAAATAACTAGCAATTGTTGATTTCATTAAAGTTTTCAAATTTAACTGACTCAGAATTAAAGCTTTCCATTTACAACCTACAACAGCTTGTTTGTCCAACTAATTTCTGTCATTGTTGTCCTAACTAAGATTTTCTAAATAGCATAACAAAGATAATTAACTTTTGAGTAGATTTTTTGAGTCAAGTGAAAAACCCTGTGGGAAACCCCGTAGGACTCGTGAAAAACCCCATGGGAAACCCCGTAGAGGACTCCTGAGCACATTGTCTGAACAAGTTTTAAGATCAAACGGACCGTTCACCGAGCCTGAGGATACCTGGACCATGTGATGGTGGCCCGTGGACGCTTAGAAAACGATAGAACGTGGCCAAAGTTCGATATGAGTTGAATTGTTTCGACCATCACGGATTTTCGCTTGGTCTGGAGTGAACTTTGGACATTTTGTGGACAGGAGTGGGAGCTGCCGACCATTTGCGGTAGCAGTTAAGCTAACATTTTGTACAAGCTCATAAAGACATTTTCAGCCATTCACTGACTTTAATGCTCAAGTCTAGGCTCAGAGCATCAGCCCAGCGCGTTCGACCGCGCAATAAATAGTGTTTGATACTTTTTAATATTAAACACGTATCTCAGACTAGCTTTTTAACTCCACGTCAGCCGTGGTAAATCACATTAGGTCATTACTCATTTTGCAATCGGTTTTAATGTTATCCTTATATGAAGACATGATGTTAAAATTGAAAAAACTGTTTAGTAAGTTATTATGCGGGAGCAGGCAGGTGTCCTCATAGACAAGAATACGTAGATGCTTCATTGGGTGCTGTAGAACGTAACAGCATCACCGCCATCTTGGATGGGTCTCCTCACTCTCCAAAGTCAATGCAGAGTGGGCTACTATGCCCGTTTTTGTGCAGTTTATGGTTACAACAAACGGCATACAATTAAACAGATTACGTGGGATTATTAGTGACTTTTCTAGCCTGCCTGATGGGATTAGATATTTTAATTTATTTTAGTAAAGTATATTTTAATTGTCAGACCTTTTGTCTGATTTTGTGAAATAGCTTGATAAAGTTTGATTTTTAGTTGGGTAAGCACCTTCCTCAGTAGAAATTAATGCAGTAGGGTTGTCAAGTTCTGTGGGTGTCCTCATGCAGACACTTTCATGATGCGTGAGAGACATACATGCAAAAATTATATGACAGTGATGTAAATTGCTAATTATCTAATCTCATTTTTACTTTTTTCAATTGACACTGTTTATTCGATGATGCTTTATTAATATTGAAACATTATTGTAGTGATGCAAATTTGTGCTTTTACAAACTATGGACATAATGATAGTTTAAAACCAGTAATGTGGATATAACAGATCAGTGAAGGAAAATAGTAGAACAGTAAGGCAAGTCAGGAAAATTACATTGGTTATTTGATTTATTATCTTCTCACATGACAAATTCACCCTATATATTGCCTATTTCAGTCATGGAACATTACAAATTGGGGAAATAGAGCTATGTTATTTATGTTTACAAATTGCAGGGACTGACTGTTTCCTCTGTGTCTCTTGTGTTTCTGGGGTGGAATTTCATGCAGTGCAGATTTTGCAAATTCACAAGCTCCAGTCAACAAACTCTTCTGAAACACTTCTGCCTTCATCACGGACAAGGTGCACACTGGCAGACGAAATGAAAAAGAAACAAAAGAACATGGCAGTCAACCAGCAGAAGATGGCTCTGATCTTTTCCCTCAGGCGGAGAGAGGTTGTGGAGCGTCAACCTATAGTATCTGAGGTCCAGGAGAGATGGCCTGCACTGTTTTCCTCTGAAGCGGTAAGTGTGGCCCAATTTATTCAGTAAAGATGTTATTCAAATTACGCACAAGTTATACTAGATTGACTATAATTGAAGAAGTACAGGGTTTTCTGGGGAAAAATTAATTGTAAAACTTTATTGTACCTTGCGCTACCACTCCACTCAAGGCCCTTGCCAGTATTACACTTGCCAGTATTACCATGTGGCCCATTAGATTCTTTGACCTGTCCTAAAATGCTTACTCAACATTTTACACCAATGGAAGCCCATTTCTGCCAGTACAAGAGTTCCCATGCTAAATCAAAATTGTGAAATAGAAAGTCAGTCTCATAATTTTGATTTGGCATGATATATATATATATTTTTTTTTTTACTGGTGGAATTTATATATATATTTTTTTTAGACTGAGATGGTTAGAGTAAGAATCTGAAGGCACGTCATAGAATCTGGTCACATATTTCAGTGCAAAATGGACCATAATGTTCATTTGTATATTGATGCTGTTTTTGGTGAAAGGTGTTTCTATTCCTGTGCAAAATATGTATCCATGAGAGCTGTTTGAAGTAGGTTTTGCTGTTGATTACATGTTTAGGCATTGAACATGGTGCAGACTGCACAAGACAGCTACCCTGGAATTTTCTGTGCTGAATAAATGACAATATTTTGTTGACTGTGTTTCTTAGATATGTGAAGAATTTCATCGGATCACGAGCAAAGACCTCCTGGGGAATTTTAATGCATCCCTTGACACATTTGCCTGACCTACTGAAACTGCACCGGTCTAAAAAGGGATCTCTTGGTGAGGAGATGGAAGACCTCCTGGATAAACTTGATGAACAGGTGAGTGAAGTGCTTGAAGTTTTTAGCAGAGTATGAGAATACTTATTTCAGAACTGGAACAGGAAAATATGCTGGCTTCATATACCGTAAATCCTCTAATACAGGCCTGTATTCAATTAACGGCCGGGTCTCATATTTTGGCCGGTGTCGGAGTCGGCGGAGGTGAATAATGGCCGGTCTCTTATTGTGGCCGGGTGGAATGTGGTAACAAGCAAGTACAGGGGGCGGTTTTGTCATCGTCTCACTTTTGATTTGCCAGTGATAGACCGCGAGGGTAACTTTAACCGTGCGGAGACGAAGAGGAGGCGAAAATTTGATATCAAGTTCAAAGAGAACGTGCTGCTTATGCTGCAGAACACTCTGGAGAGCAATAGGGGTTGTATGAACTAGTCGACTTCACTATAGTGACTTTTTATGCCCGTCGTCGACTAGTGGCTGTCACGTGATAATGACAGGCAAGATGCAGTCCTCAGAAAAGACAGCAGCCTGCTGTCAGCAGGTGACAAGCTCCTGCGCTCGGGGGGGCAACGCGCTGTGCCAGAGTGTCGGTACTGACACGCGATCGTTCATGTCGGTTCATTTCCTTTAATGTTTTCTGTCGTTTATTTGCGCCTGATGTGTATCGCTGCTGTGGAGTGGGGCACATCACCTTGTCCTCCGGTGACGCACCGATCACTGATGCGGCCGCCAAGCAGCGAGCACTCCGCTGTTTTTGCGGTCGGTAGATCTGCGTCCTGAGCACGGCCACAGTAACATCAAATCAGGTGTCGTCACCTCAAAAACTAATTTAACACGCGATCGTTCATGTCGGTTCATTTCCTTTAAAGATTTCTGTCTTTTATTTGCACCTGATGTGTTTCGCTGCATTCTGTGGAGCGGGGCACATCACCTTGTCCTCCGGTGACACACCGATCACTGATGCGCCCGCCAAGCACGGAGCACTCCGCTGTTTTTGCGGTCAGATCTGCCTCCTGAGCACGGCCACAGTAACAATCAGGTGTCGCCACCTCAAAAAATTATTTAACACGCGATCGTTCATGTCGGTTCATTTCCTTTGATGTTTTCTGTCTTTTATTTGCGCCTGATGTGTTTGGCTGTGGAGCGGGGTGCATCACCTTGTCATCCGGTGACGCACCGATCACTGATGCGGCCGCCAAGCAGCGAGCACTCCGCTGTTTTTGCGGTCGGTAGATCTTTTAGAACTGCAGTTCAAAGGTAATTCATAAGGTGAATATATATGAACCCAGGTAGCAGTTTCTCTTTAGGATTGAGAGGAGATGCAGGAAGATAATAAACAGGCAGGACAGAAAAATAGTCAAATAAAAACAAGTTTGTTTTTGTACCTGGTGGTTGCAACAAACAGACACCATTGAAGGTAATCAGAAGTGAGGAACAGAAAATGAAATAATTATTTTAATGTTTAGAGCAGCAGGAACTCTGAGAGGCTGCAGGCGCATCAGTGAGTTTGCGGCCGCTGCGCAGGGGGAGGGGGGAGATGGCTGAAGCAGAAACTACCGTTGTTAAAAGAAATGTGTTTAACTTTGAAAATGTGGGCGCAATTTTAATTGTCAAAAACTCCAGCGAACCATTAGTTCATTTTGTTCAAATAGAAATAGAGGCCTGCCTCTAATTCTGGCCCTCCTTCCATTAAAGGCCTGGAGCTTGATGAGCATGAGTCAAATACAGGCCCGGGCCTGTATTAGAGGATTTACGGTAAACACATTAGTGGAAATGTCATTTAAAATGAATGCCAGCAGTTTTTGCTTCATTTGGCGGTATTTTCTTTACCACAATTTAATTAGTAAAAGTAAAGTAAAGTTGTTTACTTGGTTGCAGTGTTTAAAGTGTTACATGTTGCTGGGTCTAATCTGTGTTATCTTTACTGGGGCAGCTATAGCTCAGTAGGTAGCTACTTCCAGCAATTGGAAGGTCACAGATTAGATCCCGGCTCCCGCCAGAGAAGGCTGCTGTTGTGTCATTGGGCAAGACACTTAACCAACTTTGCCTGCTGGTGGCAGTCGGAGGGACAGGTGGTGCCTGTGTACGGCAGTCTTGCCTCAGACAGTGCGCCCCAGGGCAGCTATGGCTACATTGTAGCTCATTACCACCAATGTGTGAATGTGTGTGTGAATGGGTGATTGACTGACTGTGTTGTGAAGTCCTTTGGGGAGTCGTACAACCCTAAGTAGGCGCTATACAAATACAGGCCATTTACTGCATATGTTCTGCTTTTGCATTGTGCTTAATTACTATGTGTTACTATACTTATTGAAATGCTTGTTTTCCACTGAATACTCTTTAGACGTCCGACATTGTGTCCCACCGAAAGACTGCAGCACTGAGAGGCCTGCCCATTTTCCTCAGAGAAGATGCAACTCAGGTTTTCCTGAAGTGCTTGGTAAGTTTATATTAAAAAAAACAATGCAAGTAAAACTGATTTTTGAGAGATGTCTTCAAGTATGATTTCATCCAAAATGAAAATTTACAACTTTTCAGTGCAGTTCAGATAAATTTATGGCAAGAATTGCAGTTGTCTATAGCCAGCTTCACACTAGGGACATGATTGTTTCTTTTAGGAACATCACTGCTTCAAAAATAATCCATTATAAGCTACGCAGTTGATCCAAACCAGCCCCGCGCAGGTAAAGATAGGATTGGGTTCTACCGCAAGTTCCTTCTGGGACATGTCAATTTCCGCAGGTAACATAGGGCTAGATAAGAAATTGCACATGGTTTGTTTAAAACGTCTAGTAATTTTCAAAATAAAATTGTTGATGAGATGCAACTTGTAATAAAAATGAACTTGTCATCTGTTGTATAATTGCTTTATACAAGTTATTGATCACTACTGTTTGTCAATCACACTTATCATGATATAATCAAGGGTAATCATGGTAGAGCCGAACATAATGTGATCATGAGGATGTAATCAAGGTAATCCTGGTGGAGGTGTGCAGCTTTGCACGCACATCAGGGAATGTATAAGGAGCAGAGGAGGGCTCAGAGAGTTAGAGCTGCTTGGTGGATTCTACCTGACGAGGTTCATGGATTACATGTGTTCAGTTCTTCACCTATCATGGATTACGTTTTCTAACTGGGGTGTTCAGCTCTCCACCCATAAGCAACGGTAAGAGAAATGTTTCGTTCATGATTGATAACTTGTATGAATGCCGGTTGAATAAAGCCTTGTTGTTCATCTGATATTCAAGTTGTGTTTCATTGTTTCTGGCGTCGACTTGACAACGATCCTGATTAAATAAATATAAAGTGTAAAAAGAGACTTTGAGTCTTTTAAGGTAATTAAAATAAAATAAAACATTTTATTTTAGAACATTTTTGGCGTCACGAACAGGATCCTGACTAAATAAATATAAAGTGTAAAAAGAGACTTTGAGTCTTTTAAGGTAATTAAAATAAAATAAAACATTTTATTTTAGAACATTTTTGGCGTCACGAACAGGATCAGTCAAGCTATTCCAGCAACAATGAAGTGTTTTTGGAGAAGCAAAAAGGAGCCGAGAGCTTCTGGGGAGGGAACGCCGATTCCCGGCTGGGAAACGGAGGAGTTCCGAACCATTGGTGATATGTTAAGGCAGCGCGGTGGACGCCCTGGGCCGTGGGGAGAGTTAAATGGAGTGGTCAGCCCCGCCGTGGTGCTGGACCATTTGACGCGGATAGAAGTTAAAGAAAAAGCGCCGCTGGCAGGAGTGAGAGATATGATGTGGCTTTTTGCAGAAGCATGGAAAAAACAGGAGTTAGAATTGAGCAGTTGTAGAGAGCGAGCGGCGCAGGAGAAAATCCATGCTGAAGAAGTTGGAAAATCATGCTCAGAGTTTGAGCAGAGAGTGTGTGTGATGGGGAAAGAGCTAAAGCATGCTCCGAATGTTTTGGATAAAACGCTGACTTTTGTGTCTCGAGCGCAAAGGAAGGAAAAGAAGCGACCTCGTAGAACAGGTCCTGCTCAGATCCGGGCGTTTGTAAAGAATGTTGGTGAAGATTGGGACCCTGAGAAATGGAACGGGGATCTTTGGGGGGATGATGAGGAGGAGGAGTGGGCGATTAAACCTGACCCACCACCTCAGCCCTTGTATCCATCATTACAGGGGATAAAGATGTCAGAACAAAGACCTATTACTAGGCGTCGGCGAGAACAGCAAATTATTCCACCAATACTGGTAGATATGGTGGATGATCAGGGACGGCCGGAACTCGATGAGGCGGGTAATATAAGAAGGATGTTACAACAGCAGCCACAACCTGCCCCTAGGCTGCTAACAACGCTAGAGGATTATTCACAAGATGAGTTAAATCACATGAATGGGAAGCTGAAACAGCGCCCAGGCGAACCAACTGACTCCTGGCTTAATCGCCTTATGGAGGATGGCGCGTGTGATATAGCCATAGATGCCGGTGATGCCATGAGATTTTCAGGATTAAGTACTGATGCACAGATAAATGCTGAATACCGGGCTACAGTCCGGGCATTGCCAGCAGATGAAGATTTCAATGTGGGGGATGCATATGCTCTGGCATGTCATGTAATCTATCCTACCACGGCGGACTGGTCTGAGATTAAAGGGCAATGGCAGACAGTGAGAGATGCCATTCAGCGGCTCACCAGACTCACTATTAGAGAGCAAGTGGCTCGAAACGGGGGAGCTGGAGTGGTGGACTGTAACATCTCTAAGGCAACTAGAGATCACCTCATCAGACATGCCCCACCACATTATAAACCCATGGTGACCAGCTTGTTGTTTGGCGCGGCAGACCAGACTTTTGCCGCGATAAAAGATCGTCTTGGCGAACTCACCACGCTGGGTAATTGGTCTGAGACGAGGAGAGAGGGAGCTAGAACTGAAAATAAACCCAGGATTGATCCACATTCAAGGGGTCGTAAAGGGGGGGCAATGGGCCCCTCTAGAACAGATCTGTGGAGGGCACTGCGACAAGCGGGAGTGCCGTTTGAGGAGATTGATGGATTGCCCACTAATGCATTGATGGAGAAATGCAGCCAAATGGGACTGAAGGTCCATTGTCAGTTCAGACATTGTCCTGAAAAGGACGACAGGATGTCTGTGTCAGAATTGGCTGGAATGTTGCAGAATGTGATCAGGGAGGTGGCGTCGAAGCCTGCTGAACCTTCCGCCCCTCCCAAGGAATCTTCAGAGGAGGAGAGTTCAGATGAGTGTTATCAGGTGGCGGCAGTGAAGCGTAGAAAGAAAAAACAGCACCGAAGGGAACATGATGATGAATAGGATGAAGGTCAAGCTCAGGTTGTTGCCAGTGCCTCAGGATGGTCAATAAATGATATCAGACCACATGTGGAATTACAGATTTATTGGAAAAAATCAGTACAGACAGTAATGGCATTGGTTGACACTGGGGCGGAGGCCTCGGTAATTCATGGCAATCCTGATAAAATAAAGGGAAACATTGTACCTTTGACTGGACTTGGGGGGCAGATGTTAGTAGGAAAGGGAGTAACTTTGCCCTTAAAAATAGGAAATCAACCTATTAGAAATTACAGTGTAGTAGTGGCTCCTGCAAAGGAATGGATTATTGGAACGGATATATTGGCCGGAATGACTCTTCATCTGAAACATGGTCGATTTTGTTTTGGTATAAACAGAATCCACACCATTTTGGTAGGCAAGGTCAAAATGACACCTTTTCCCATTCCTGAAGCAACACAGGTGGTATCACAAAAACAATACCGGTTGCCTGGGGGTCAGAAAGAAATTACGGACACTATTAAAGAATATCTGGAGGCAGGAGTTTTGAAAACATGCACCACACGGTGGAATAATCCCTTATGGCCAGTGAAGAAATCAGATGGTTCATGGAGAATGACTGTGGATTATAGAGCGCTGAATAAACATACTCCTCCTTTAACGTCTGCGGTTCCGGATGTTATCACGATTGTGGAAAGGGTGCAGCATCACTCTGGTACATGGTATGCGGTGATAGATTTGGCCAATGCTTTCTTTACCATACCTATCCCTGAGGACAAGATGGAACAGTTTGCCTTTACATGGGAAGGAAGACAGTACACCTTCACCAGATTACCACAAGGGTATTTGCATTCACCCACAATCTGTCATAGGATAGTGGCTGAAAATCTGTCGACTTTAAAGATCCCATCAGGCATATTGCTATCACACTACATTGATGACATCATGATTCAGGGAAACACTAAAGAAGAGGTTGAGCAATTGCTCCCACTTCTGATAACACATATGAAGAATCATGGATGGGAGATAAATCCAGCGAAAGTGCAGGGATCTGCACAGTCAGTGAAGTTCTTGGGAATTATCTGGAATAGAGGGGAAAGAGAGATAACAACTAAAGCTAAAGAGAAAATAGCACGGTTCCCAATACCACAGAATAAGACAGATGCTCAGCGGTATATTGGGTTGTTCGGGTTCTGGAGACACCACATACCTCATTTAGGACAGATCTTGCAGCCTATGTACAGATGTACTCGGAAGAAGGAGCAGTTTGAATGGGGGCCTGATCAACAACAGTCATTTGAACTAGCTAAAGAGGCAATCCAACAAGCTGTTTCTTTGGGGAAGATGTTGTCAGGACCAGTGGAGTTACAGGTTTCTGCAGTAAATGATTATGCTAACTGGAGTTTGTGGCAAAAACAAGATAGGTGCAGAAAACCTTTGGGTTTTTGGTCTAGGAAATTGCCTGATGCAGGACAGAGATATACTCCATTTGAAAAACAGTTGTTGGCATGTTATTGGGCTTTGTTGGAAACAGAAGCCCAAACTGTGGGGCATGAAGTAATGATGAGAACACATATACCCATTCTAACTTGGGTCATGAGCAATCCTACAACTCACCGCATAGGGGTAGCTCAAGAGGCTAGCATCATAAAATGGAAGTGGTATGTTTCTGAGAGAATGAAACCAGGAGAAAAAGGAGTATCAATGCTCCACGAGCAAGTGGCAGACGTTCCAGAAATGGATGAAGTGCCTTTTGAGGTAAAACCAATCCAGGATTCTCCTGTGAAACTGGGGGTAAGATGGAGCGAACTCACCCCAGAGCAGCAGGAGCGAGCCTGGTTCACTGATGGTTCCTGTCAATATGTGGCAGGAACCAGGAAATGGAAGGCTGGGGCATTTAACCCTGGTACACAACAAGTTATGGAACTCACAGGGACAGGAAAGAGTAGTCAATGGGCGGAGTTGAAAGCAGTACACATGGTAATAATGGCAGCTGGGGTGCAGGGAGTAAGTATTTATACTGACTCCTGGTCAGTAGCCCAAGGAATGTTAACTTGGATGCCAACTTGGCATGCTACACAATGGAAGATACATTCAAAAGAGGTTTGGGGAGCTGACCTATGGAAGGACATTTGGGAGAAATGCCAAAATATTCCTGTGTCAGTATTACATGTGGATGCTCATACTAATAACAATGATCCTGAATCCCTGCATAATCAGACTGTAGATAAGATAGTGAAAATTCAGGCTGTAAGACAATCAAGTCCTGGATTAGCCAAATGGGCTCACGTTACTGCTGGACATTGGGGTGTGCAGGGAACATTGAAATGGGCGAGGGACAGAGGAATAGATCTCATCATTGATGATATTAAAACTGCCATAGAAGATTGTGAACCTTGTCAACATCAGAAAAAGAGAATCCCTCGACATATACAGGGACAGATACATCGAGGTAAACAAGCGGGACAGTGTTGGCAGATTGATTTCATTGGACCATTGCCAAAAAGTAAAAACTATAAGTATGCATGCACAGCCGTGGATACGGTGTCA